TAAAGAGATGTTCCGAGTAGACTTCCCTGTAAAGCGGCTTTTGGCCAGAAGCTGATTTGGCACAGGTTGTGTCAAGACCTTGGCCGAGAACAGCTTCCTCTCTGCCGATGGCAACTTTGAATTTCGCGCCTGGGATGAGGCCATAGTGGTTCGGGCGATCAGCAAGACAGATCCTCCTGCGTGGGGTTCTTTGGAGCCATGTGGCGGGGATGCGCTCAGCCCCTGGTTGCTATCCATTAGTAAGCTTTGCTTGTTTCTTGCAGCCCTTGCTGGCTAGTTCGTTCTTGCCCCGCCCGAACCTGTCATTCCGAGGTTTCCTCCTTCATCCCTTAGTTACTTCTTTAGCTTTACTTCTATTCTCTTCTTCTGCCCTTGTCACATCACATGCTTCTCCGCTCTGCTTCTAGCTCCAGCACCTGCCCGACCTGCCCGAACTTCCGATATCTTGTCTTTGCTATGCTGTGGAAAAGATATCTAATGATTTCTTTTTCTACAAAAGAATTGTCGAAAGGTATTTATCAGTATATATGTACATAGTATACTCATCTAAGACATGCAAACACCGCCTGATATTTGTATTTACTACACACACTCACACACACATACACACACATATATATATATATAGATTTAAAATCCATACAATGCTGTGCCTCGAGACAACCTGCGCGTTTCCTTCTTTTCTTTTCCAAATAGCAGGAAACACGTACGCGGATATATGCAGGTATATGCGCGTTTCCACGCCAACCTTCTGTCATCTTCTCTTGAACAACAGGAAACGCCAGGAATGAATCTTGCCCTTCACTGGAGCAGAAAAACTGTCCTACCATTAAAAAACATTGGTTTCCACGACAAAAAACAGCTATCTTTGCTAACTTGTTTGCATCTTTTTCTTGAACATCTGCTTTCTCCTGTTATATCTTGCTTTAAGTAGATATAACTTTAACATGACTTATACAAGTTACCCCCCTCTATAAATCTACTTACACCATATTAAAAAACTACATATACAACATATAAAACGAGTGGAGAACACGTTGTCCAAAACCTGGCTTGGGTGAAATCTGGGGTCGTAGGATGTGCTCGGATCGTCCAAAGCAGGAAACTTCCTCGCGATGTAAGTCAAGACTCGCTTCTTCAGGAGGTACCGGCTCACGACAATTTTCAAGGATGGCTGGTTCAGGTCTGGAGGGAAGCGTTTGCACCCAACATCTTCCAGCAAGCACTCGAGGCACCAGCAAAGCGAACTGTTCTGGATGGAAGCAGTCTTTCGGCAGCTGGTGCGCTGGCAGATGAAATCCAGATTGGTGGTCCATGCCATGCAGTGCCGCGACCCAAATTGGGAATCCAAGATCTCAACGGGCCTCACGGCAGCCTGGCCTGCCTGGGAAAACCGAGACCAAATCTTGAGCATTGTCCCGATAGCCTTCGGCGACATTGCTTTCACGCCGCCTTTCGAAAACCACTTGCTAAGATCTTCTTGTGACGCCGAAAATCCTTGGCTCTTCAGGGCAATCTGCACATCATACACTGCCATATAAAACGAGTTCCACCTCGAGGCAAAACATTGTATGTAAATAAATAAATAGATGAATAAATAGATAAATAAAGAAGTTTGTATGTATATAAATGCATGTACGTATTTTCTGATATTTAAATGCAGTTTGGTGCCGTTTGAATTCGATATCAAAACTCATTCCCTGGCCTCAATTGAAGCCAAGTTATGTGAGTGTTTGTTTCAAAGGGTTGAATTTTGTGGTCTCTGTGAAGATGTCACTGAGGAGTGTCTTTCCTTTACGCTTGGTACCGCTGCCTGACCGACGGCAAGAATCAGCAGAGCCAGAAATCTTTTCAGAAGGGGGCAAGGGCATTTCGAGTGAGATTCCGCTACCTTCCATCTTGGGAAGATTATGAGCTTGCCAAGTGGAAAGCTGCCGACCATGCGATGGACGTCGCAGAGTCCCAGGTGCTGATGGGATTGAAAAAAACGAAGGCAGTGTATGATGTGCAGATTGCCCTGAAGAGCCAAGGATTTTCGGCATCACAAGAAGATCTTAGCAAGTGGTTTTCGAAAGGCGGCGTGAAAGCAATGTCGCCGAAGGCTATCGGGACAATGCTCAAGATTTGGTCTCGGTTTTCCCAGGCAGGCCAGGCTGCCGTGAGGGCCGTTGAGATCTTGGATTCCCAATTTGGGTCGCGGCACTGCATGGCATGGACCACCAATCTGGATTTCATCTGCCAGCGCACCAGCTGCCGAAAGACCAGTTCCATCCAGAACGCCTTGCTGGTCTGGTGCCTTGAGTGCTTGCTGGAAGATGTTGGGTGCAAACGCTTCCCTCCAGACCTGAACCAGCCATCCTTGAAGATCGTCGTGAGCCGGTACCTCCTGAAGAAGCGAGTCTTGACTTACATCGCGAGGAAGTTTCCTGCTTTGGACGAAGCAGGCAGATCCTACGACACCAGATTTCACCCAAGCAAGGTTTTGGACAACATGTTCTCCACTGTAGCAGCTTGGAAAGAGTCTGGCTTGAGCAGCACTTTGCCCACAAACCTCAGTTGGCTGCAGCTCTTGCCTGAATACCAGCAGCAGCTCCTTCAATTTGGTACGCAGTTGCTTCGGGGCTCTCCAGATCTGGACAGAGTCATGGATGCCGCACTTGACCGCGACGCGCTAGTTGCAGCGGAGGCGGGGCCACGAGGGATATTCCACATTGCGTGCCTTCTGTGAAAAAAATCAGAGATTATAGAATTGGTTTCAAAGATGATAGCAGTCAGTGTGACAGCTTCGATAGTTTCGGGGCACCATTTTTGCATTCTCACAGACATCGCTGACAGGCAAATTGTACATCCCATGCGTGTATCAAATTGCTATGGTTTCTATGTACTGTCCAACATGCTCTTCTCTCGGCTTGATTGGCCTTGCCAAAACACTTTGTCTCTACAGGTCTTCTTGATGGGAGCCGATTTCCAGAAGCTTGGTATCTATCACCATGATGAGTTCTTGGAAGCAGCTGCTGCAGCCAAGCGTGGCCCAGAAGCACCTGAGCCGGCTCAGGAGCAAGTTGCTGCAGCAGAAGAACCCGTGCAGGTGGCAAGTGCAGCTGAGGAGGTTGCAGAGGCTGCGTGGTTGCGGTGTCGATTTTTTCGGAATTGTAGTGAGCACGCGTACCTCTCTCCAAGTCCTGTTTGCGAGCGCACAGGTTATTTTTCTTTTTATGCTTCCCGCGATTTTTTCCCATATTTTCGCGAAGGCTTTCCTCAAACTCCTTGCCTTCCGAGCATTGCATGTTGCCATGTTTTGGCCCTTTTCTGTTTGTCGGCGGTGGCCCACTGCAGCGCTTGTTCGTGAAACATGTAACTATGGAACTTGAATATCACCACTGCAAAGCCGACGCATTGCATGGCTGTTAGATTGTTATTCCACCAACTTCGATGTCTTGTCTCTATAATTCAATAAATATATTCCTTTAGATGCTCGCCACTCCAAATTTCAAACCACCTCGACCTCGCCCCTTCTGGCAGGAACCTTCTCTTCAAACTGCGGAAGCCGAGGAGGATACCAAGCCAGATGCCATGGTTGTTGAATTAGAAGGTGAGCCTGACAAGTTGGATAGGCTTGCGTCTTTTCCTACCTTGCGGGAAAGCATGCCAGACACGTTCCAAGACATCCTGTACAAGAACAAATGTGACGTCGCTTTTGCACAGGTGCTGGATGATGCCAAGCTGCGCAACTTGGTGCATTTTTTTTCGTGAAGGAAGAGACGCCCCGAAAAACATATGGTTGCTGTGATTGTTTTTGCCGCGTTTTGTCCTTCTCCCGAGGGCGCAACTTGATCATACATAGACCCAGGAAGAAACACCTACGTGCAGTTCCAGGTTGCCCCAGCTTCTTCAGAGTGGAGAAACTACACCTTCCCTGCGGGCCCCAAGCTTTTCCGCATGGATTTGAAAACGCGACGGAGCGAGCCGGATGCGAAGACACCCTACAAGAAGGTGCCCCAGACATGCAAGACAGAGCAGAGGAACATCTTGCAAGCTTTGCTTGGCGATCCTGCCATCACAGGAGACCAGCAGTTTGGCATGAGTGCCGAAGACATGCTGGTCTACCATGATGGCCGCAATCTTCGCAACGGAATGCAGTTCATGAAGGATGTGGCAAAACCTTTAGCTCTGCGGAAGGTGATGTGGCCAGCCAGGAAAGTCGCCCAGGTCAGACTCCTTTACCACAATGATGAGTTTGAGACCGGTTTTGCCCGCCCCGCTCGCAGAGTCGAAAGCAGCGTGATTTCAACCTCAAGTGCTTCCAGCCCTGAGCCGTTGGAAACCATCTACATCCTGAAGCCCAAAGATGTGACGGTGCCTCTCCGTGCACGTGTTCATGTAGATCTAGCAGGGAGAAACCGCGACCGTGGATGGGCCAAGAATGGTCTCAAGAATGCAGAGGAGAGGCTGCTCACTGCTTTGCCCACCCACATCTTGGAGAAAATGTTTACAGGCCAAGCTCGCGGAGATGGCCTAGAAGATGAAGTGCTGGATTTGGAGCCTGAACAGGAGGCAGAAGAGACGGATGGAGAGGAGGGCAACGATTCGACAAAGCATAGCTTGCTGTTTCCATGGGAAGCCGAGGAGAAGCAGGTGTTGGAAATCTACAATTGCTACAGCGTCAGCCAGCAGGTCACCATCGTGGACATTTATGGTGGCGCAATGGCAGCTATTGCTGCTTGTCGTGAGAAAAGGAATTACCTGGGATTTGTTCCAAACACCTTCTCCCAGACCGTCCTTCATGAGATGGTTCTCCTGCGAGTGCTGATTGACATGGTCCTTGGCAGCATCGTGACCAAGCGGCGCCATTTGACGAGGGCCCACAGCCTGGGAGGGGAGCCCGATGTGCATTTTGCAGCCCACCAGCAGCCTTCCGAACCGAATGGCCCACCATCGCCAGGTTCAGGTGCTCCACCACCTGCAGATCAGGGTGAAAGTGATGACAGCAGCGTAGCCAGTGACTCGTAAAGGTTTGTGATGGAATGCGCAGATGTGACCGCCAAAAAACGCAAGAGCCAAACTGGAATCTGCCGTGCTGCATGTCTTGTGGAAGGGGTACTGGATTTACATGTTGTTTCGGACAGTGAGACAGTTTCTTTCGCATTTCGTTTTCAGCCATGCCTTTTTCGCAGTTATAGCACGCAAGTCCATGGATGCTTTGAAGTGCAACATGTACATCCCTGCCTCCAAATCAGCCTTGCTTTCTTCTTGATTTATGTTGCTTCCAGTTGTTTGCAAGCTTGCGCCTAGTTCCACCTGAGTATGCCCTGCATGATGCGCAACCTTGGAGGAAGACTTCATTTGCATATGGCGAGCTCCGTCCCATAAAGCGCTTCCAGGTGCCCAGAATGTCACAGGGAAAATGCACAGATTGCAGTGCCCATTAGGTTTTTCGACATGTCCAAAGATGATTGTTTGAATGGCGCGGTTGCAAGTCTTGAACCGTCACATTTCTTGTTAAGATCCAATGTCCTTGGTGGATCTGGGTTAATTCCAGAAGACCAAGGGCACGAAAATGCGTAAAATTCGCAAGGAATCTTTCGGATAAGTCAATCCTTCAAGATTTGTTTTGCTACATATCTGTATTTTGCCTTTATGGACAAACATGTACTCCTCCAAGTGCTGTTTAAATTCTGAAAATGCGACAAAAATTGGCCGCGCATGTTCCATCCTGAGGCTCGGTGTTCTTTTCCCTGTGCTCCTTGCAGAGCGTGGATCTCCAAAGCGACCGATACGCTTTCCTTTTCTTTTTTTGGCTACTCGTCAGGGTAGCGGGTGAGTCGCGATGCTTGGATGAAGGACCTGCAAAAAGGTTGGGTCCTACTAACTAATAACGAAAAACGCGTTGCAGTCGACTTAAGCAAACAAAATTAGGCTCTATTTGTGGCACAAAGAGCTGGCATGAATAGTTGGTGACATCTTAGGATCTTTAGGACGATTTGAGCGTGATGGTTCATAGTGCTTGATTTTAATTGGATGATCCTTCTCGAGATCTTAGCCCGCCCACCATGACATCAGGATATCACAGAACAAAATAGAAATTTACGATGTACAGAATCCAACATCATGGTGATTTGACCTTGATTGGGCTTTACCAAGCACAAACAGGGGATTAGAATCGCAAATTACTTGTGCAAATGTCCACTATAAAATGGTGGTACCCATGTTCCATGTCAGAAGCCATTTTGATGAAGAAAGCAGCCATGTTGTACCGACTTGTGCCCAGTGAATCCTGCATTTTTGAATGTTTTTTTGTTGGGGAAAATCATGTTGCAAATGCGTTATAAAATATTGTCCGGGCCATTTCATATTACAGGTATTTGCGCAATTGGACGCATTCTCATGTTTGCCTGAGATTTTAAACCAATGCTTTGACAAAATGGTTTGGGTCTAAAGGGCCTACAGTCCACCGAAGTTCAGGGCGGAACAAACTAGGCTACAAAGTGATGAACAACTTGTATTTTGATGTGCTTACTGTAGATGTATTGATTTTTTCTCACCTTGCCGAACAAACATACAGATATTGTAGCAGGGACAGGACACAGGGAGTGTAGCGTTTCCTAGGGGATCGGAATAGGCGCAACTTAGACATTTCCAAATCATTTTTTTATATGACCCAACTTTACAAAAATGAGGCAGCTTCAAATCTGGGAAATGAGGTTGGGGCAAGCATTTTGCAAGGGGTAGTGTTTTTTTGGTTCACCGGTATTTCCTGGGGAAGATCAAAAAGCCTCCCATCTTATAAACTTGAAGCCATGACATTCTGTAAGCTCGAGACCTTGGTCCTTTACAAAGTAGCTGCCCTGAAATCACAGGGTATAGTACGTGTACAAAGGGGTGCAAGTTTGTGAATAGTTGGGACGCTATTTGTTTACCTAAAACTCATTTGCAACGTGTTTCCCCATCAGACTGAATATTCTCGGAAGGTGTTTGATTCGTCAGCTGACGAGAATTCAAACGAGGAATGGGCCGAAAGGATTTGGACATTCAAAATGATTCATATATGAATCCTGCAGCTTCTGTTTTGCCTAGCAGGACCAGCCAATGTCCAACACAAAAGAATGAGAGCAGTACAACAACGAACAATGGATGTCTTCTGCCACAGCGGGTCTGAAGCCAAGGCAGATGGATTTTGCGACCCCTTGGCCTTCAACGAAGAGGCTTGCAGCTCTCTTGGCGATATTTGGCAGGGGTGCCGGGTGCCTGCGACTTGGCACATTGTCAGGTATTTGGCTGGCAAGATGTTTCATTGGATGTGAACATTCCAAATTCGAATATAAGGAGTGTGCAGGGTCCGTTTGCAGGAACGTTGAAAGGATCCAGGCTAGAATATGTTTTCAACATTGTGTGTTTTCCACCTTGCAAGCGATTCTGTTCCTGACGGCGATTTTTTCGCAGACGTAAATGAAGAAGCGCAAAGCACACGTATATACAAATGTCTCTGTAGTGATGCTTTTGATTGGTTTAGATGGAGAGACTTATCAGTCGATATTCATTGATTCAATCAATCATGTTTCAATTCACTGATTCATTATTCATTGGTTCATTTATTGATTCATTCATTGCTTGATTCATTCAATGATGCCTTTAATGTTTTACTTTCACATTGAACTGTACTGTACTATATGCAAATATACTGATGATTTTGCATCTATTGGCAGACCTTTCCGTCTCTGTACCGCAAACATGTTGTGGTCGCCAACAATGAAATCTCAATCAAAAGTGGATCCAATGGCGCATGGGCAAGGTCCAATACGCTGCAACTGATGATGTCCGAAGTACAAATTGCGGAGGACTCCGGGAACCATTGCCATAGTGCAATCTGCTAACGGGTAGACGAAGCTGGAAAGTCTCAACCGTTCACACAGCACATTTGGATATGCTTGGCATTGTTGCAGACAAACATACCTTCAAAACTTGAGGAGATCTTTTTTTTTCATTTGTTGCATCCTTGGCACCTTGGGATGCTATACCACATGACGGAACAAACACACACACGCACGCACGCACACACACACACACCCACCCACCTTGTGCGAGGTAACCACAGGCTTAGACACTGTGAGATGACGAATTTCCCTGTAGTAGTGACTGGGCGTGCTGGCTGCAGATGGTGGTTGATGGTGGCCACGGTATCACCAGAGCTGGTGGATGGCTAGGGTTTGCTCAGGGAGCCAGTGGATTCACCCAAAAAAGAAATTCTGGAAAAGTAACTCGCACCAGTTGTTTGTAATGATTTTCAAAATACTGCTGAGACCCAGTAAGACGTGATGTAATCTCGTTTTGGAAAGGATGAACAGAAACATGGACTTGGTTTTGTGGATCAAAACAACATCATGGGATAAAGACAAATTGTAAGTAATTAATTGTTTCACTAACAATCCATAATCGTCTATATAACAATATATCCATATGAGATAGAACATGATCAAGCAATAACAAGGATTAAACCGGCTGAAATTGGGATCAGCCCAGTAGAAAGTGATAACGGATATTGATGGAATATAAAACCAACACAGATAGGATTTGTGGGTCTGTCCGAAGAAGTGGTACATACCAATTTCATCGGGAAAATGATGAGAACCAATCAGATTTGCCGGTAGCCCATTGTCAGATGAACCCACAAAAGCTGAGCTTTGGACGTCGCCAGCTGAATTCGGAAGTAAGCACCAGATATAGGGGTTCAAGTAAATAATTGAGATTTAACTAGCTCACTTTCTGATCTGGCCATCATGGATTGCGATTTAACCACGAGTTTACCAGCAGAAATTAGAGGTTAGCGAGAAGAGTAGCGCTTGAACCTGATGAAATTGGGATTGAACCAGCGGACTTTGAAATCAAGTCTGGCAGACTGGAAAACCACCTAAAAGTTGATGATTGACACGGCAAACATCGGAATCTCCAATGGCTAAACTGCAGTATCTAGGGTATCCTGAGGGTACGTGTAAAAGAATCCTTCTTGTATTTGGCAAGGGGTAATTTTCCGAGTTTATTAGAGTTAGAGTGTCTCAAAAGTGGGGCTGCATCGAGATACTTAATGATCATAAAAAAAATCAGTTTCATTTTCTATCTTAATAAAGATTTGCAATCAGAAACAACCCTTTTCCTATGTTTTTTTCGGTTGGGTATCCTCTGCAGGCGGCTGTGCCTGTGATCCCCCCAGGGTGACCATTGTTTTGGTTTTCTACCTATGGCTTCTTGGGATTTTTTTAATCAAAATTCGAAACATGTTTTTGAATTCCAAATGTACAAGTTTGCGAAGTTTGTTTACTATGTTTTATTCTTAAACTTTCCCATCAAGCACTACTGGTTCAGGGTGTAAATGCAGAACTTCAAGGGGAACTTGAAAGAAATGCGCCCAACGTGCCTCTGTCCTGTTCGAAAAAGCGCCCGACAGCGCCAAGGACCCCAGAAGTGGATTGCAGCTGCATGATCTATGCAGAAGAGCATTTGGTCTATGCTTGCAAGTTCTGTTCTCCATCCAGGCCTGCCACCGTGCCACGGCGACCTGTTGGCAGCCCGGTGGCGATTCCTTAAGATCCAAGTGGGCCAAGAAACAACGGAACAGTTAAAATTGCAAAAAATGGAGATAAATGAAACCAGATCTATCCTCGGGGGTTTCTTTGTATAGTATATCTTTGTATATTATAAAAATACATATATATATATATACATTTATATATATATATACGTGAATATAAAAAAACAAGATTCTCGAATTATAATTACAAATCATAAATATATAAGTATTTTAAGACATTTTTTTAAACATACACATATACATTTACATATATATATATATACATATATATATATACATATACATATGCATATATACATATACATGTATTTACATATTTTATATATGTATGTGAATATGTGCATGTAATTGTAATATATTTATTTTTATATTTATAACGACATTCAAGCCCGTTGATTCCAGTTGCCGCTTCTTGTCACTTGTCGTGATGTCTTTGGTTCTGCGAACTTAGGTTGCGTAGGAGTGCCGAACAAAGTTCCATGGAGAGCAGATTCTGTAACGAGTTCGGATCCGCCAATAATTGCGGAGGTGGCGGGAAGGTTCCGCAGAGGTTCTGCCTTTCTGGGGTTCCAGGTTTAGAGGTTGCGCAATGGCAGAGTTTCTGTGGAGGTGCTGAAAAGGTTGGCAACAGGTCCCGTACAGGTTCCGCACACATTCCGCGGTACAGCATAGGCTCTGGAAAGGTTCCGTAGAGGTTGGTTCCGCAGAGGTCCCGCATGCAGAGGTTCTGTACACGCTGCCGCAGATCCGGCGGGGATCCGTAGAGGTGCCGCAGAGGTTCTGCATAGGTTCCGTAGAGGTGCCGGAGAGGTTCCGTAGAGGTGCCGCAGAGGTTCTGCAGAGGTTCCGCAGAGGTTCTATACAAAGGTCCCGCAGGCAGAGGTTCTGCAGAGGTCCCGCAGGCAGAGGTTCTGCACGCTGCCGCAGAGGTTCTGCAGTGCTTCCACAGATCCGAGGTTATGCAGATTTTCCGGCGGAAACCCGTAGAGGCGCCCCAGAGGTTCTGCATAGGTTCCATAGAGGTGGCGGAGAGGTTCTGTAGAGGTTCCGCAGAGGTTCTGCAGAGGTCCCGCAGGCAGAGGTTCTGCAGAGGTTCCGCAGGCAGAGGTTCTGCACACGCTGCCGCAGAGGTGCTTCCACAGATCCGAGGTTATGCAACGTTTCCGGCGGAAACCCGTAGAGGTTCTGCATAGGTTCCATAGAGGTGCCAGAGAGGTTCTGTAGAGGTGCCGCAGAGGTTCTGCAGAGGTTCCGCAGAGGTTCCGCAGAGGTGCCGTAGAGGTTCCGTAGAGCTCACAAAGTGCAGCATGGCTGTGTCCCAGGTTCTACATATGCGCTTGCAGCGGTTTCTTTCATCATGGGCCGGTCAGACCTGAGTGATGGATTTGCGAAACTTGTGGGTTTCCGAAATGCGTTAAACAATATCCGAACCAAACTGAAACATTCTCATGTTGATGCATATATATTTTTTCTGGCCGGATCGTTTCTGCTGGGCCTGCGGCTTGCATGACGTAATTCCTTGTGTGGAAATTAGTCTAAATTGTAAGACGGTAGTTGCCCCAATTTTGAACATTTCCCAGGTTCGGAACCGCAGCCAAGCTCATGAACATCTACTATTTATGGGACCTTCCAGGCAGTGAAGGCCTGAAGGCCATTGCCAGTTGCTATGTTGCCACCCGTTGTAAGTCCACGCACGATATCATGAAGAGGTTGCTGTTCGACAATCGATTCATCCATCCATGCATCTGATTTTCACCGCAGTTGCCCATTAGAGACCGACTGGGTGACCAAGCACTGGGCCCGCCACTTTTGATGGCTGCAGGCTATATTGTGGGAATTGCGAGTCAACCTTGGAACATGGCTTTTGCACCTCGGTTCGAGTATCTGTCACATGCTGCCACATGTTTGGTTTATTGGCAGAGTCAACACACGCAAACTTCTGAGAGGGGTCCGAATGAGCGCAGAGACAAGATTGTCCATTTTTGGCAGATGCGTTTTTTTTTGCGAGATGGCCACCTCTTTTGCCACGTTGAAGTCTAGCTGCCTGAAAGCATGTCCGACTTTCTTTTCAAAAAAAAGATACACGCGGTCAGGTTCCCATGTTTTGCTCTTGCAAGTGGGGTTCCTCCGGCTTCCGTCTTTGACATCTCAGGCATTTAGCAAGCTGCGCCACGACGAATTGGCACTGGCATCGGCGACAATCTGGATAAAAAGTGGGCAATGAGAGCTCTAGGTGTTTATTGTAGACAATGGAATTAAGCACAAGACATGCAGATCTTTAAGCTATACGACAATTCACCAACCTTCATCCAATCTTCTCATCGTGGTTTTGCTTTTTCTGATTTGGATTCTTGACCCAGATGGGTTTGATTGGAAACGTCCGCTTTGCAGCCTGGTGTGGAAAGTTTCGAAAGTGAAAACTTTGCCAAGCAAACATGCTTCCCCAACAGAAAGAAATCTATCACTGCGCCGATCCCAATGAGCGTCCACAGGTGGGTGAAGCGACCTGCGCACGATGTGTGTTTGTGTGTGTTTTTGTCTGTGTGTGTGTGTCTGTGTGATCTCCATTGCATCTTTTTGGAATAGGTCTGTGTGCCTGGGTCGAGGAAGGTGATTTGGGACTAAAGATTTAATCTTTACTGAGGGGCTAAGACCGTTCAAGCATTGGTGATGATGGATTGACCCAACCAGTAGGAATAGCTCTCGACTCTCAACCAGTATTTCAGGGGCCCGGGATAGGGTATCTGACTCATGGGCTCAAGTCTTGAAATGGCTAAAGTCTTCTGGTGGAACCAACTGATGAAATGGCTAGTTTGGTAATGTAACAGTGTAATAGTAACATAACTAACAGTAAGTAATATAACACAGTACAACTGTTCATTTGTTGCTGTAAACAAGCAACGGAATATTTGTTGCTAACCAGCAACGTCGGCAAAGACCATGGACCAGGTTCTAGGAGGATCCAGCGCTTGAAAAAATACACCATAAAATTGGACATCCATCGGGGAGATGATGACAGGTTTTTGGGGGGACATACCTTGTTGTTTCAGGATCTTCCTTGCCCATAGGATCCATGGTGCTGCTATATATGGTAACATTTGCCATTAATATACCCCAAATGTTACCATATATACCATACATGGATCCTATGGGTTGTGGTGTTTGGACCAGAATCGAGCCAACCAATTTCAGTACACTCAGGCGCCGTCCTGATAGACAGTGGACGGCCGTCCGGGGGGTACATCGGCAGTCATGCGGATGAGTAGCAACAGTAAGACTGTTTATTTAAAAATCCCAATGACTTGACCTTAATCCATGCTTCATCCACAGTGTTTATCCCATCTTGTTCAAGTCATACGTGCCATGGTCCAGTTACAAGAACGTTTTATGATGTTTTATGCATCAAACAGGATGGCCGTCCCCCCCGGTAATATACCCATTACAAGGAATCGCATTCATGCCGGGATGACCCAACAAAAAAGCTGACCATGGCACATATGCTGAAGCCATACTATTGCATCGCCTGGGCGATAGATTTCCATGGGTCTCCCAACTCCCCAGTGTGAATTCTTATCGCAAAGAGTCTTTTTTTGGATAGCTCCTAGTCCATGTGACTGCTATGCTACTATGAATGTGTTTGGCACAGACAAATGTGATCATTGACTCGTTGACTTTCCCATTCATGGTAGGGAATTGCTCAGAATAATGTCATACCAGCAAAAGAATAACAAGAAACACAATGATGGAATTTTAAAATGCCGCCGCCACCGCCGCCGCGGCTGCTGCTGCTAATGCTGCTGATGATGATAATATTGAAGATGATAGTAATCAATACTAATATGTCTAATATTTAACTTTTTTTTTAAATAATAAGAGTGATAGCAATAATATGAATAGATATTAAAAATCATGACAATGATAATAATAATAGTAATAATTAGTACTCATAATATATTGATTACTCTATATATATACATGGTCAGCATATATTGATTACACTATATATATATATTGTATACTATATAACATACATATTATATATTGTATATATATATATACATTTTATATATAAATAAAAATCCTCATATGGAACACGGACCAAGGATCCCGCTCTGCTTGAAGCGACGCTTCTCCCTGCTGCGGATTTCCTCCATCGCCGGGCTGGTGTGCACGCTGCCGCACGGCGCTGATTTCGCTGGCGAGGTTAGCCTCTGGTAATGATTGTTACATAGCTATTGCAGCTATGGCCATAGAAATCGTTGATTTGCCCAGCTATAAAATGGTGATTTTCTATAGTTTTTTGTTAGTTTACCAGAGGGTAACCCGGGTAAGCCACAAGAATTGGTGAGTTGACCAGCAAAAATGAATGATTTAGCCATTTAAAATCGGGGGTTACGCAACAACAATGGTGATTTCACATAACAAAATTGTTTCTATTAACAAAGTCCATACAATGTGGGGCCCCCAAGATAGCTAAGTTGGTTTATAACTACAATAACTAGGGTTTATGGCAGTTATAACCATAGTTAGATGGGGTTATAAACTAACTTATAACTAGGGGGCCCCACATTGTAGGAAATCAAGAATCACATGGGAATTTAACCCAGAAGCAAGATGATTTATAGCTGATAGTAGTCGATGTGATGTTGATTTTTGTTGGGGACATCGAACTAGTTAACTGGGCCTAAAACTGCGTGGCAAAAGCTTGTAGTGACAATGAAAGGATTTACCTGTGCCAAATGGCCTTGGTCTGTTTGGCATCCAAAAATGGATGTGGGCACTGCAGTTTTGTGGCCGTGTTTTATTCAGTACCATGGCAAACTCTGTTACATATATATATATATATATGCACCAGGCCCTTGCCCTGCCCCCCCCCCCCTCCCCCCCCATATGGGATGGGTCCCATATACTGGTCCCATATGAGATCTTCCCCCTCCCCCCCCTGTGGTGTGGTGGGGGTGTGGCACTGTCCCCCTCCCCCCCCTGTGGTGTATACCATATCCCCCCCTCCTGTGGTGGGGGTGTGGTATGGTGGTGGGGGTGTGGCACTGTCCCCCTCCCCCCCCTGTGGTGTGGTGGGGGTGTGGTATGGTATGGTGGGTATGTATGGTGTGTATGGTCGGTCTGGTATGGCATGTTTGGAAAGTATGGTATGTTTGGTATGTATGGTAGGTATGGTATGTATGGCATGAGTGGTTGGTATTGTATGGATGGTAGGTATGGTATGTAAGTCTGTTGGATATGGTATGTTTGATATGACAGTATGTATGGTCTGTATGGTATGTATGGTTACTATGATGGGTATGGAATATGTCCTATCTAAGGTAGGTATGGTATGTATGGCATGTATGCTTGCTATTGTATGTATGCTATTGTATGTATGGTAGGTGTGGTAATTACATTTCATATGTATGGTATGTATGGTATGTATGATAGATATGATAGGTATGGTATGCATGGCATCATTGACATGTATGGTAGGTACGGTATATGTTCAACAGAGGTAGTGTTGTCAGAGTACACAGGTAGTAAACAGGAAGTAGATACAGTAGATACATAGCACATGTATGTATGACTATAGGTAGCACGTAGGTACTTTGAAGGAGTATGTGTGCTACGTAGGTCGCCTAAAAGGTAGCATGTACCTAGTAAATGCGAGGCTGGTAGTCAGAAATGCTGCAAAGACCTAGCAAATACGACGCTGGACCTCAGAAATGCTGCCAATAGCTTGCAAATAGAAGGGAATTGGGGCTACTACCTGGGGACCCAACCCATGGGGGGGGGGGTGGAGAGACGGAGGACGGGACCATATATATATGTCATCAACACTCATCAACATCCATTCACTTCTACCCCCCTATACATGGCTTCAATCGCGGGCACCAGCTTCACTCCAAGGGAACGTCCTCCACTTTCAGTACGCACAGTAAATTGTAATCTTCCCTCTGAAAACTTGGACATTTACATGCCAGCTTAAACTTTTAATGGAAATCAATTGGTACCTCCTCAAAAAATGTGTCTGAATTAGCCCCTTGAACAGAAGGGTTGATATAGGTTGATTTCATGGCCAATCGCCCCTGTCCTCAACCGGCCCCACAATCTTTTGTTTAGTATAGTTATAGGAATCATTGGATTTCCAATTCTTAGATGTGCTTTGAAAGATGTGTCCCTTTGCAAAATTGACAGTTTGCATTGCATTTTACCCTGCAATATCAGATTTTCGAACAAAGCGGGTAAACCGACTGGTGGATGTTTCGTTGATGGGTTTACACTGAATTATTCATGCCATAAATATCCATAAATATCCATAAATATATATATATATATCCATAAATATCCATAAATACTGCCTTGATGTAATGGTTTGGAGACATATAATTAAACAAGAACAATGTATATATATATATATACATATGTTTACCGTGCAGGACACGGAAAACCGCAGTTATTATTGTACCCCTTACCCAGCCAAAGTTATCAAAGTTGCTTTGCTTCTTGTGGCCGAGGTATGTTTTCCTCTACGTCACCTTGGACTCCATCAGTTTCCTACTTAATCAATCGAGCGGGCTGGAGGGTTTCGACGACTTGGCGCCGGATTGGCTTGGTTCTTTGCGAATCTTGGGCGATGTTTTTCTCGCAGTCAGCGCATTTTTCGGGATCAACGAAAGAGCAAATATGCTCTGACAACTTGACAAAATGTTGCTGGGAATTTGTTTGTTAACAAAATATACGGAAACAAAAACATAGAAGGTCCTTGTGCATATGTTCTGAGGGTTCCGTAGTAACTCTGCAACTCTGTAACTCTTGGATATTCGGATATTCCGGCAATGGAATTAATCATCATGTTAAGACAATTGTTTGTTTTTACCAAGTTGACCGTAGCTAGGGAGAAACTATTTCACGTCATTTTTTTTGATATCAATTTGTCATTTTGGATATGTGTGGTTTGAAGTCATGTTCAGTATTTTTCGGGTTGAGTTGGGAGGATTCCCTGCGGGTGGTGAGTGGCAAACATGGGCAGTCAGAATGCGTCAACAAAGACATCACCAACATCTTCATCATCATCATTTTATTATTATTATTATTATTGCTATCACTAGTATCAAAAAATAATCTTAAATATAGGAGAAAATAGTATTTATTACTATCATCATCATCATCATCATCATCATCAGCAGCAGCAGCAGCATCAACGTCAAGATGTCCAAGAACATCATCGAGGTATGTCTTTGCAAGAGCAGCTGTTTTTTTTTCTTCATGCAGGGGCTGCCAGTTGACCAATCTTACACAAAGCAGCATCAATATCCATGTCCTGCGAAAGGTGGGAATATCTTTATGCCCAGCTCTACGTGTATACCAAGCTGGATTCAACCTGATTTTTGCATATTTATTTTTGCAAGGTTGTCAAGTGCATGGCATGATATATGTGTGCAAGTGCAAGAGAACGTACAGTAGCGTAGCATGATATATGTGTGCAGGTGCAAGAGAACGTACTGGTACCGTAGCGTAGCAACAGCATGTGTGCAAGTGCAAGAGGACATACAGTAGTGTGGCATGACATATGTTCGCAAGTGCAAATGAACGTCAGTAGCCCACCCCACAGTCATGTTGCTAGTAACATACAAAATGTGACAACAGCCGCGAGCTTCCCAGATGCCCGGCACCTAAAACATATTCAGACCTGACCACTTTGGTTCTGAACACATTGAATAGGTACAGGTTATAGATTAAAGTTGATTAAAGTAAGATTCCAATTAATGTGGGTAAAACAAAAATAAACCATCCCCAAATCACTATAGATAGGTGCTATAAGCTATTCCCAAATCCCAAATGGATGGTTTCTTATTACATTACTGGATTTTCACTCAGTGATAGTCTTTCGGGCCTTGGGCAATGCAGTAGCATTCTCCAAGAGGAGCCGGCCATGCTTGTGTTTTTTGTCCAAATGCAAACAAATAATACAATGTTGACCCTTTGTTAATTCGAGTTTTGGGTGAAACATGGGACCAATTGCGGTATCTGATATGTATATATGTATATATATGTATATTATATATATATATATCTGTCTCTCTCTGTATCATCGCTGAAGGTGCTGGGGTGCAGTGTTAGCGCACCATGTCAAGAAATCGCACCATCCGAATTCAATGTTCCCCTCTGCCAATTCACAAACACTCTGCCGACCCAAAAGATAATTATATACTGGGTGACATGTTGCCGTACTCGTTGATTTTTGATGGTTTGTTTTCTTTTTGATAAACGAGGGGTAAACACCATGATCTACCAGTTTTGCCCCATTCCAATTCCGTTAAACTTTGGGTATGGGATCCACTCACCAGGAAGTTTCGGCATCTACTCTTGCGCCTTCATGGCGCACTTCAATGCGCCTGCTTTCTATGCTGATCTGGAAGGTTTCTACGCGAATGGACATGTGGGAATGGTTGGAAAAAAGTTGTTCCAGAACGAAGGATGTGGGATGATTTATGGATGCATATATGTATAATGTATAGTTATATATATATATGTATAAATTGTATACAATATTTGAGTAACCGACAAAATTATTGTAATACTATATTTAGTTTTGCTTCGCCTTGGCCTTTCTGAGGTTGCACAAAACCTTCATAACCGATAGGGGACGACCGTATACCGATACCCTATTTGCGACACCTCCGGGAGTACTGAAATCCTCACAACCGATAGGGGACGGCCCTAATCTGTGCATGGCATTAGATTAACAAATAATGTTGTTCGTTGCTAATATTAATATATATATATATATGTATGTATTTATATTTACTTATACAAAATTATATATAATTGTATACAATTGTATATAGTTATTTATATGTATATATTATACATATACACACGTAATTGAACATTGCATACGTATATATATATACATAAATATTTACATACATATGCAAATGTTAGTGATGGTATATAGTAGTATATACACATAATTGTATACTTGACCATATGACAAACAGTATATATGGAGATGTAGGGAGTATATGCTTTCAAGTCAGGATGACATTGCACAGTTTTTAATGTGTTTGTACGAGGAGGATATTGCCAAGTGGTTCTGCATCTACGTATAGAATAATACGATAAAGACAGCGCATGCTGCAGTTTGGTCCTTTGGAAGTTGCCTTTGTTTGGTAAACACTAAACCACCAAATCAATCGAAGATGTTCTATTTACCATCCTTTAAACTAACAGTTCGATGTAGAAAACGCACCATGTGGTCGATCATTTTCCCAGAAACACCATCATTAGTTTCCAATGGTGAAACCACATCTGTTTGTATGTTTACCCTCGGGTAATACTTGAAATACCTCTCAATACTTGAATTGCTAATCGCAGTCCTGCAAATTCAGTATGAAAATGAAACCTACCATCCCGAATTTAGCATAGCTATGGGAGAAAAAAATAAAAAAATATATAGATGATTTAGCAATGAGTTCTCTACGATTATTGATATTAATATTTATTGTATTATTATTTTTATTATATTATATTATATTATATTATATATTTAACTACATATATATATATAGCGATGTACCAGTGGGTATATAATCCTTGCTATTCCAAACCCAGGTTCCCAGGTTTTAGAGGTGCTCCCGCTTTTGTGTGGAACAGCCTGGTGGGTCCCATAGGGATTGTCGTTTATGCTATTGATCCATTTCTGGGTAAAACAAAAATTTGGGTAGTGTCACTCAAAAACTAATATGTTGCCATAAATATGAGGAAAACATATAGAACAGATCAAAATGATGATACCCATATTTTTGTGTGTGCAAACCATCTCAAATTAGCAGTGTGTATTCCCCAATCACCACCTCTTTTTTGGGATCTTGACAGCCGGGCAGGTCGGACGCCCATGAAATTCGCGGAGGTCTGTGGAGCCGCATACATCTTGGCCTTCCTGATCTATGCTGCGTTGCGTGGCCATGGGATGGCCGTGGGAATGGCGAAGGGTTGAAATCTTCGCCACTTGCCCTTTGCTTATTTGACATAGCTGTTATAGCTATGGAAGATCACCATTTTTAAAGGAGAAATATAGGAAAGTCATCCATAGGCCAGGGCTTCCATGGTATTCTATAGCTATGTTAGATAAGCAGAGGGTAAATACCCACTATTGTTGCAGGTATACACTACCCCCCCATTTTGTGTCTGGCGCGGGGGAGTTTTTGTTGGGACGTTACCTGCCAAAAAAGGTTGACATTTCCAACAAACAGTGGGACTTCTGAAGAGGCTAGCGGCTATGAACTCAGATATAAGAATTAATAAGAGACATGGTGGTTTCATCGCCGATTGGACAGACCTAGTCGATAACACGTGTTCTTATATATTATATATACAGAATGATGTAGACACATACCTGCAGGTTGATTTGGCCTCAGTAAAATAAATATTATGTATGTACATATAAATAAATGTATGTGTGCATGCATACTTTTGTTTGTCCATACTGCTTTCCACGTAGAAAAGCCCCACTTTTCGGTCCAGGTTCGGCTTGGCTGGTTTCGCGCGTTTCGGCAAAGACGTGCCGGGCAACGCGCTGACGGGCTACGATTTGGATACCAAGGCGGTTGGCTTTAGGGATTACCCTCTGGTAAACTAACAGTTTGCTATTGAAAATGGCCATAGAAATCGTTGATTTACCCATTCAACATGGTGATTTTCCATAGGCTGTTTACCAAAGGGTATATTCCAATTCATGGAGGTTATAATTTCAGTAGTTACCATTGGGTGGCTTTGGAGGTCAAAATAATTTTTGGATCAATCATTTTTTGGATGGCACCCAATTTGTAGCCAATGTTTAGTGGGGAAAAACGATGGTGAACCAGAGGACTTGAGGGGTATCCCCATTTTTGTCACTCACAACATAATATATATCATTGTACCAATTTTGATATAGATCACAGAGCTTATCATGAGGTGGGAGAAGCCAGCCAACCAATGACAGTCACGGACTGAAGCATGAATGAACACCAGTTTATTGATAGGGGTCCTCAAAATTCCGACATTCAGATCGTAAATGGTGGACCCCAATACCAATAAACTGAGGTCTTATTGATAGGAAGCTCTCAGCAAGCCGCAAATAGGGTGTAGTCAGCAAAACATGAGGGAAGGAAACCATGCTTGATTATATATAATATCATGGTAATTTCTTAGAGATTCGAGTGAAGATGGTGAAGCAAGCACCAAAACACTGTGCATCAACCAGCCCCGCCGGCCCCTGGCCACAGGTTCTTTTCATGTGGCCCCTTGGCTGATGTTTGGATCGTTTTGGGGGATAGATTCACCATGCCCCTGTTAGGTACCCTAAACTTGACTCACACACAGAAGCCATCCACCTGATGGTTTCTGTCAGATCCAGCAAGCGGTGGATATCCTTTGACAATCCAACCAATCTGGCGCTGGAACTTTCAACATGGTCGCCTACATCATGAGTGATATTACATTACCATGATAGATTGCCTGATGGTTCTGACAGAAATGTAACAAGGACATGGCATTTTTAATGAAGTCTTCTTTGGTCAATAGTGGTTCCACCCCGCGAAAACAAGTTGACATATTGATCCATTTGGTTGACATATTCAAGTTGACGGCTGACACTGTCAAGCAATGATGGAGTTTGAGTGGCACTTTGCTTTATATCTTTATACAGTTGATTGGTGGTTTCTACTAAAATTTGAGATGATACAACTTGAAATCATCAATCAGATGTATCAAGTAAGGTTCTTGTAGACAGCTTTACAAATCCTGGTTGGGGAAGTTTCATGACGTTTCAATAATGGTTTGTTGCGCTCCACCACCACTTTGGCAGGGCTTTGGGATGCCTATTTCTCACATTTATATACATTTATCATGTTCCCCTAGTTCCCCTATGACTGGGTCAACCCACTGGTTAGATACTCTAGTACCTCAATCTTTTGCTGTAAAATTATGTAACATTAGTCCATTCACCAGCTAAAAAATAGATAAATATTGCCAGTTGGGTATGGGTCAAAATTAGGTACCCCAATAATTGGATGGTTAATACTAAACTAGACTTTCACATCTGTGGTCCCCTAGGTCTTCCATTTTGACCCACATCCAGTTGTTTAAGATTTACCATGTTTTTTCACAAGAACTCTGTGGAGTCAGGTTGGGCATGGCGTCACTGGGCTCGTTGTTGGTGGGTCTCGAACCCTGCGCTACCTGCGGGTGGAAAGCGTTTCGTAAATGGGACAAAAAAACAGTTAGATTAAGGGAATATCAGCAGTTATATAGGATGAAATATGGTTTATATATGGCTTATATAGGTGATGGATTATATAGATTAAGGGAATATCCCACTTATATATGGGATTATATAGGTGATGGACTATAAACCGCAGATCCTCAGTGGGATGCACATCCAAGTATACACATGCCCTTTTCTTGGGGAGAGCAAAAACTTAAACTTAGCATCAATTCTTTAAGTATAGTAGCCCTCTTGTAGTCATTAGTGGTCACAATTGGCATCACTTGTTTAAGCATATAGTGGTCACATATAGTAACTCTCTCCAAAAGGTTACAATTATCGATGAAAGATAAGGAACTTAGGATGTGAATTGTTAACAGGATTTCTTTTTGTGGTGGTACAAAGGATGTGAATTTTGGATCCAAACTTACATGACCCGGATCGTTGTCCATCTGTGGGTGCCAGATGTGGGGATTCTTGTGACCGACATGATGGGTCCTGGCCATCCTAAGTTCTGCAGGCACCCTGATCACTTGGTCATCCCAGCGTCACTCGAGTCTTTTTTGGTCAAACAAACATATCCACATAGGGCCTGCGGGTTTCCCACACTGTTAGGATGGTGAATCTTCTGGACCTTTCAAATCCTCATCCATTGCCTCAATGGAGCTGATTTCTATCTCGAGTTTTCTTGGTGATTTCATATATGTCATTGGCTGAATCCTCCATAAACGGTTTGTCAAAAGGCTACAGCCCAGAATTTGATGAAAAAATCATTCGAGTTTCCTGAAAAAATAATTCCCAGGTGGTTTTGAATTAAACCAGACTATGTTGAAAATAAAAAACAGTTTCAGGGATCCATTTTGGAGTCTCATCTAATATGTTCCGTTCTTTTTGAAGCGAGGATCCCTCTTGAGCGAACTGAACTGAATTTGATGATGGGACAATTTGCAGGAAACCTTGTGCAACCTCTATGTAAGGTTGGATTAAAAAAAAAACATGGTTTCCTGTAGGTTTTCCCTCAAACCATATTAAACCACTCAGCACTCCATTGAAAGTTGAAATCCCACTTTATCCCATCAAGAATTCACACGATATTTCCATGATATCCCCAACTGTATTCCGATGATATTTCCATCAAAAATTCCCATGGAATCCTGAAACCCAGAGAGACCCAGGCTCTGTGTAGCTGCCTCTTTTCCATTGGTTTTCTTCGCGCATCGTGACGCGCTGCGGCGCTTGATCGGTCGAACGCTGGGATGGCCATTAGATGCTTGGTGAAAAATCATGTGATTCCACGTCAAGCATGGGAATGAAACATCATATAAACCATCAAACATGGGTGATGAAACCAAACCTGCAAAATTGATGAAACATTGCGATTTTCACCAAATGGAAAACCATCATGGTGATGCTTTACCTCACGAAAAATGGTGGTTATATAATCGTCGGCCAGTCGCGGCGCACGGCCCAAAAGAATGCAGATCACTGGGAGAAAAGTATTGGCTGGTGTCATTTTGTCAATGAAAAACCCCCCAAAATTTTGTCATTGGGAGCCCTAGAAAGTGGCTTCATCCAGATCTGGAAAATTATTCGAATGGACTCAGTGTTGCAATGTTGTGCTTCGCCAGCACCGTGATTTTTCGCATCAGGAAGACCATCGAACTGTGCACGGCGTCGCGTTCACTGTGGCGTCCCGGATGTATGGAATTCCGGGGATGGAATTCCGGGGGTGAAACCAAGGGAGCGAAGAAAAAGAGGAACATGATCTGAACAAATGGTCTACTGGTGATTTACTGGTGACTTAATGGTGGTTTAATGGTGGTTTAATGGTGGAAGTCTGACCATGTCTGAACATATCTTAAAACGGAAAGATGGAGAAGTTTTCACTGCTTTGAGATTGATCGAATCTATACAGATCTGACACTCAGGGCTAATGGCCTCACCCACTGGAGGAATGTCAGTTGGTGGATGGCCCCACTTGTAGTGCTAATTCCATGTCAAATATAGCTGGAAGATGTGTTGCAATGATGCATGTGAACAGGGGTAAGTACGAAAACACGTGTGAAACATGTTTGTTCATGTTCATGCTTGCCTAAAATGATGATTCCAATATATTCCAACGACCTATAACCAATATTCAATAGTAATCAGAATTGGATGGTTTCATGGTTTCTCCCGCATCCTCATCCACGTACCTTGGCACAAAATCACCACAGGTCAGACATTTCCGACCCCGCCATTTTTTTTCGGCAGCCGCCAAAAGATACAATGATACAAAAGATTACCACATGATGAAGCCATATGTTTTGTCATCTTTGTACATCTGGAAGTTTCCGACAAGTCATGGTGGTACCCCCCAAATCATTCAACTCGTGGGTATCATGCATCGGTTTTTTTCGGATTTGTCCATAGGTATCCCATGATATCCCCCTGTGGAACCCCCAAATCATCCATGTTCGATTCGGATTTTCTATGAAATACAGTAAACCATCCAGCGATAAAGGGGTACCCCCATCTGGGTAAATTATAACGACCTCACTGTTCTCCCGAACCCTGGAATCATGGTTAGTAAGGGACATCATCCCCAAATGGCCCAACAATTCAGGTTAGTGAATTAATATAATTTACCCAGCCCCATGACTATGGAACCCATATTTTTCAGGTGCCTCGTATCCCCAGGTCTCCGTGCTTGCCCTGGCGACCGCTGGGGCGGTCTTGGAGGATGTGTCCTTCGTGGTCTCCTTGTGTGGAGCTGCACGGCTAAAATGGATGCTGTAGTGTGGAAAACCTGATTAAAATGTATGATTTGGTGCTACCCCCATTTTAAGAAACCTATATATGTATAACACTCCAATCAGTTTGGTTGATCAGGGGTATCTAACTGTAGTATGCATGGGTATGGGGGTTATACCAACAAAGATGATTGGGGTTCCAGTTGTTTATTGATTCACAATGGTGATGTACATTGAGTTCAAAAAAGTAAGGGTGCTACAATAATCATGGCAAGCCTTCATTTATTTCCGTGCCACAATCAATGTAGATAATCAAATTGGCCAGTCGGAAATTTCCCAAAATTTAACGCGGACCCTAATTTTTAGTATTTGGGGGGATTAGTAATAGGAAGAGGGGAATAATTGTTCATAATGGTGACTTACTTTGATTTCCAAGCGTCAACAAGCCCAACTCGTACTGCACTTGCCTCTTTTTGTCAGCATTGGCCGCCATGTTTTGCCTTCATGCGAAGCCTAGGTTTAACGAGACATGGGCTTGGTTGTTTCATGTTCATGTCCAGTTTTGGGACGATCGAAAAAATCATCGGCACCAGCAGTGAGTTCAGGCATGCTCTGGAGCCTGTTTGGCTTTTATTCTTCCAGGCTGGACGGCATTGGGGACAACCAAAAGGGGAAGGGCGTGCGGCATTGTCCTGTTTGAAGATACACCGTGTGAGCGTAAGAGTGCACGGTATGTAGAGAATAAATGATAAGAACATGATCTCAGAACATGTACACACATGCACATATTTGAAGCCATTTGACTTTTACGAACATCTTTGCATTATGTAAGACAATTGTGTGCAACTTGCTTGAAGCAATAAGATGACATTGCCCATCCGTCGGATAAAGATTGAGCTGCAAAAGGCTGATCCCAAAGATATCCAAAGATGCTTTAACTTTATTCCAACTGTGTTGGAAATGATAGTCTTGGAGTTTCACAGTAATTTGATGTAATTTGTACCAATGGAGCTGAGAGCGAAACCGGTACAGTTCAAGCTGTAGCACAGTAGCTACAAGGGTCCTCCATTTCTGCCGGTGCAGTAATCTAAGATAACGCCAGAACACACCAATGTTGTGACTAATTGAGGATTAGAAACATCATATTTCAATAATTTTGAATATATTTATAGCCATTTTCCATTGCTATGTTAGTTCACCAGAGGTATGTCTTTGGTATCTAAAGAAATCGGATCCACTTTAGCCGCAAAAAACAAGCAGTTGCTGAGTTAACACGACTGGTCCCCAATGGTGGCGCCTCCCTCGACAGGTGCGATCATGTTGAAGATCAGCGCCCGAACCATGGCTTTTTCAAAGGTTCGGAAAGGACCAGGGTCACGGTGTCACGTCTGCATTTCTGTTAAGCTGTAGCAATTTCATGTGGTATCTACATATATATATATACGTATATATATATTATATCATGTTTATGTCATGTTATGGCAATGATATCATAATCTAGTGTGACCATAATAATGTCTATATGTATATAATATATATATACACACGATATATGTATGAGGATGTATGAGTGATGTATGTATGCATAGTGAGTATATATATATATAGACAATGAATAACAATGATATAATAAGCAAGTGTCATCATGTAATATATATATATATATATATGATTCTGATTATGTATGCATGCACAGTGAGTATATGTAAATGTCTCAGGCATGTACATATTAGATTATACATATATATATACATATATATATATATATTATATGATTATATGTACATAGAACTATAGAACCTCTGATTTTGCACATTTTTAACCAGCGATTTGGTCAGAGCGATGGTCTGCAAATCCATGGATTGATCCATGGCGGGATGTGGAGTTTCCAGCCCCAAATCAGTCAGAGTGAAGTGGAAAATGGTGGGTTTTCAGTATTGGAAACCATGATGACTGAAATGGGTATGAATCAATACCTATTAATACCATTTTTAGGGGAATGAACATCCATTTGCCAGCTATTTTGATGTTCACCAGGGGTACAAGGTTTTGACCCATCCCCAAATATCCCCACTGCTTGGTGGTTTGGAACATTTTTATGACTTTCCATCTATTGGGGTTAATCATCCCAACTGACTAATATTTTTTTCAGAGGGGCTGTAATCACCAACCAGCCCAATTGTGGAGAGCATTAGTATTGGAAACATTTGGAAACTATGGTACTATCCCCATTTGAAGAAAGCCCCATTTCAACCCGCTCCATCATCTCCATATCAAGCACCTAAAAACGGCACGTAAAAACTGCAAGGAAAAGACACCGGTCCTACGCTTCGCTGGCCCAAATTGGCCAAGACCTTCATCACCTTAGGTATCGTCTTGGGGTCTCTTGGTGCAAGAATCTTTTTGGCTTCTCCAAGAAAACTGGCTACAGAAAATAGGGATATGATGGGTATGAAACCCACGGCACTTTATGGGGATTAAAAAAATGGGTTGGCATACAATGGAATACTTGGAATACCAAGAATTTCTGGAGGCCACTTCAGTAGGTCCAGTCAGTGAAAAATGTGGTGCCAGTCTGGATCGCACACCGCCCTTCGGAGTCGAAGCTGGAATAGGCCGGAATAGATTGGGTCCCCTCCTCACAGAAATATCCAGTAGAAGAATGTAGAAAAAAATGATGATGTTCTCAGAAAATGTGTTCCAGCCAGCCAGATTTGCTGAGAATAATGCCGTTTGGATACTATGACTTCCGGATCCCCCTCCATCATTTCAATCAATATGCACTGGAAACATCTGAAAAACGATGGTAAAAAGGTCGTGTAAGCAGAGAGGGTGGAGCTGGAAGTGGGAAACGGTTATGATTCCATGGTGATGAGTCCATGTAAATCCCCCGTAGACATGCCTTTTCCAGCAGGAAACCATCGAATCACTTGGAAATTCCTGTTTTCTTGGCATCAAACGACATTCAGAAACTGTCAAATCCCCTTGAAATGGTTGTTTTTTAGCCCCAAACAATTCAACTAAGTCTCCCAAAAAGATTCCTCAAAATCGCTGTTGACGTCCCAAAAAAAAGCATCCTCCACTGGGTCCTGCAACGAACAAAACGCCTCAGGTGCCTCTCGACGGTGGCAGTCTTGGACCCATAGGGTCCATGGCACCAAGAAGGGTTGAGGTGTACATAGATCTTATGGATCAGTGGTGTTTCTCCAATCCCAACTGGAAGCCCATTTTTCAAACATCGATGATAGAACAGTCGATACTTTGATCGTTGAGTTTACAGGGTTGTTTCTGAATTTAAAGAAACACCATGAAACACCCGTATTTGCCCGGGCTGGGGTTGGGGAATGGATATCCTTGTGGACTGGATTCAAATCAGAGCCTACTTGGGACGATGCTGCCGATATGTCCCGATTCACGTTATGTTTTTTCTTAATGAGGTATAAATCATTAAGCAGACATGTTTGTTGAACTGCTTTGTTTGAGGCTTTGATGCTGTTTGATGATGTTTGATTTTCATGATTTGCCAGCTACGAAGAATCCAGCTCTTGTTCGGGTGGGGCGAAGCCCCATTGGGCCTATCCGGGACCCTTGATTCTGCATGGTAATCCCTTCACCCTGGGAAGATTTCAGGGGCCGAACCTTCCACATTTGGTCAAATACACCCTGCTCTGGGCACACGTAAATCCAACCTTGGTGCTTTAACTTAATCACACAATGTCTATCTCCATTGAGCGGATGGTTTGGATGCCCAGCTAAGATGAGGTCTAGAATTCCCCAGAAAAAATCTGGGTTCCACGGCTCAACATCGTTCCTTTCAGATTGCGTAGTACTTACATTGTACATGCTCTCCACAATAGCTTCACTATTCCTAGGGTGGGACATAATTGAATGTAAAGTCCTGAGTTTTGCGTCGCCGCAGCTGTAGCCGTATTTCAAGGGCTAGCGTTGTCACAAGGTCGCACGCAGGCGAAAAAAGTCAAGAAGACTGTGACTATCGCTGAGTGGGATTATATGGGATTATGATGCTTGCAACAAGTGGGTTTGTGATTTTGTGTGAGAGTAGTCTACCCCAAATCCAGTGATCCGTTATTCATATTCCCCATAGTATAATCCCTTCCTCCTAATACTAAACGTCCCCCTAATACTAAAAACAGGCATCCATCTCCAATTTCCGAAAATTTCAGTTTGGCCAATTTGACTTTTAATTGATCCCCTTTAAAAAACAATTTAAAAATCAACCTACCATTTGTGGGTTCTCCCCCCTAATACTAAAAACTAGTTCACCCCGGGGTGTTTAGTATTAGGGGGGCCTAGTCCCAATCCCTCACTCCAAGCTGCCTAGCTACTCTAGCAATTAGGGGTAAGCTTCTAACTGCCATTTTTGGCAATATTTTAATTGCGTTATATAAGGAAATTTAATTGATTTTGAGATCGGAAAAAATAGTTTTTAGTATTAAGGGTTTTAATTTAGTATTAGGGGTAAGCTTCGAACTGCCATTTTTGGCAATATTTTAATTGCGTTATATAAAGAAATTTAATTGATTTTGAGATCGGAAAAAATAGTTTTTAGTATTAAGGGTTTTAATTTAGTATTAGGGGTAAGCTTCGAACTGCCATTTTTGGCAATATTTTAATTGCGTTATATAAAGAAATTTAATTGATTTTGAGATCGGAAAAAATAGTTTTTAGTATTAAGGGTTTTAATTTAGTATTAGGGGTAAGCTTCGAACTGCCATTTTTGGCAATATTTTAATTGCGTTATATAAGGAAATTTAATTGATTTTGAGATCGGAAAAAATAGTTTTTAGTATTAAGGGTTTTAATTTAGTATTAGGGGTAAGCTTCGAACTGCCATTTTTGGCAATATTTTAATTGCGTTATATAAGGAAATTTAATTAATTAATTAACATGACTTCGATTTGGTTCCCTAATAATAAATACCCCCCTAATACTAAAAACTACCTGCCGTGTTTTGTATTAGGGGGGGGGGGGTTTAGTATTAGGAGGAAGGGATTAGTTGCCATTTGGGGATATACCCCATTCAGAAGAGCCCAAGTGGTTCAACATTATTACTTATATTGTTTGTTGGCAAAGTGTCTTTTTGTGTTGACTCTTCGCAATCTTTGCAGCATGGTGTGCTCATACTGTTTGAGAAAGTCCCTGCATGGCTCAGTCCCAGAACAAGTTTGCACCTTAAGTCACCAGTCCGGGTGGGTCGAGAGATGTTCCTTCATGTACCCTCCGGTGTCATCAAACGTGGCTGGAACATCTGCACTAAATGGAGGTTTATAGCCGGGAAAATCATCTATGATGGATTGCCTCCATCCGTGTTTGATTTACCGGAGGGTAACATAGATGATAATACATGGATATTGCTTAACGGCCCTTCGTGATAGGACTACCATTCATACACTGACTAAGTGGCCGGTTCAGATTTGCATATTAACAGTGCCACTGGGAATGATGATCCCATGTTTTAGTTATTATATAGTTATTTTATAAAATTTAAAATTCATTTGTCACCAAAAAAAACAAGAGCTGGTTTCATTGTGGAATGTAGATATTTAAAGATATTTAAAGAAAATCCATGCTGAATTCAACGCTTTCTTTCCAGTTCCCAATCTCCACCGCCGAGGCTTCTGCCGCGTCCCGGCTGCCGTCGCTGGCGTCGCTGCTACGGCACCAAGGTCGGCGCTGCACACGCCGGCGCTGCCGTCAACAGCGCCGGCCACGCCGGCCCCAAAGACTGGGCCGACCGAAGGGAACGCTTTCTTTTGAAAGAGGGGCTGTTGTGAGACGTAGCCATGATAAGGGTGTGATGGGTGTGTCTGAAAAAATGGGAAAATATATGAAAATATAATAACTGGCAATAACTGGCAAATCGATGCATGGATTGTCCGTTTTTGTCAAACATTGACATGAATCATGATATAGATTGGGATGATATTCCCTGTTTGTGGAGTATTCGTCAAAATGCTGAAGCCCAACCACTGGAATCTTCGCCAAGAACTCCCAAGATCTCAGAGTTGAAGACAACCAAAAGTGACCATGCCGAATCAGCTGTGGAATTCGGCTGTGGAATACTGTGCTAACTTGGGACTTGGGAAATCAACGCTTTCAGAGTTTGGCCGTGAAACGGCATAGTTGGTGAATGCAAATCGCTTAATGTGAGGAAGATACTCCTGCAACAACTGCTGGTTGATTGATGGTTTTGAACATGAATTTTATGTTCCATTTCATAGAAAAGGGATGTCATCCTTCCATTGACGAACTCCATCATGTTTCAAGATGCTGAAATTGCACCACCAACCAGTCCTGCAACAGCTGTGTTTTCAGGCTCACTTGGCCCCAGATACGCCATTGTGGTCAAGTCTTGGAGCCGGAGATCACCCGAATTTTTGGTGCCCCTATCAATGTGGGGCCCCCAAGATAGCTAAGTTGGTTTATAACTACAATTTCACTAGGGTTTATGGTAGTTATAACCATAGTTAGATATGTTAGATGGGGTTATAAACCAACTTATAACGTTTGGAGGCCCCACATTGTAACTCCACTGGTGAATCATGACTTGGAGGTTTCCCAAGTCATGTAGGTACCCCGAAAAATCATCCAAGTCATGAAACAACAATGGTTTTGCTGACAGTCCTCCATGACTTAAAAGACACCCACATTTCACCATGCAAATTTGATCATATATACACTTGGGGCCCATAGGACCCACGTTTTAGCTGGAACTTCAGATCAGAGCCATGCGCTTTTGCAGCACTCGGGGTGGGGCCAAAGGGGCCACCCTGGCAGAAGCTCTTTGCACAGGACAGTTGTGCGTCTCATGCTGAACACTTCACGGTGTGTACCGAGAAGGTGAAGTTGGTGATATCAGATATCCAGAAATTGACCATTTACCCTCTGGTTATTTAACATAGCCATGGAAAATGGTCCATTTATAGATGGTTTACCTATTAAAAATGGTGATTTTCCATGGCGAACTGTTAGTCATAACCAGAGGGTACCAACAGAATGGGGTGTTGACTCGTTGAGTTTTTTTTGACTCTTCATTTCAGTTTGAAACTACAGCATTGTGTGTAACTTTGCTGGGCCTGGTTGGTCATATGACATCCACCCCCCAAGGGGTGATGTTTAATAGGATGGTCCCCAACCACAGTAGTTTTGTCTCGAAATCACCCACAAATATATGATACTTCAGAATTGTGAATACTGATTCACAATGATCTTCATATTTCATAATATAGGTTTACCAGTTTCCAGATTTCAAAAAATCGGACAATGACAACGAAATGTTGGGAAATCTATGGAAATCTTAGGAAATGCTATGGCAATCTACGGCGTCCCTTGGTGTCCCAGGATATGCTCCAGACGGAGGTCTCTTTGTGCCAGAGGAGCTACCACGTATCTCAGGTGGTCTGGGACCATGATCACCAGGTGAACCAGCACAGATGGAGATTTGCTGAATTAACCATCAAAGAATGTGAATTTTCAGCATCGATGGAGATTTTTCACCATGAAGAATGGTGGTATAACATGATTTAACCAAAAAATGGTGCTTTCACATGATTCAACGATCCAAAATGGTGATTTAATTTGATTTCACCATCGAATATGGTGATTTACCCATCAAAATTGGTGGTATAATGATGTATCATGGGGATATAATAGGACATAATGTGAATTGTCACGATAAAAGAGTATAGAGCCACAATAATCACCACAATATGGCCAATATGTGGGTACCTTCCAGTTCCAAAACTGGTGTCGTTGTGAGTATTTTCATGCCCCAATGACTAGAGACATTGCGGCTTGTAAATACGGGCTTTCAGACAAAGCCATAGGCCATAATTATGGTAAATCTGTACCAGTTTCAGAAAATTCAGTCAATACTGTTAGTGTATACCACTGTACGCACAAGTGCTCCCGTATAATAACTTTGGACCTAGCAGCACCACCAGAGCTATGCACTGCCTACTATTAATCCAGGGTCCTCCAGCAAACAATACAAACAAGTTGCACGCACACACACACATGTATAATATATCATCATATATAATCATATTATTTAGTGTAATATACATAGTACCTATTCGTACCTTAGATAGAAAAGGACTTACCCACTCATAAAGCTAAATGATGTTTAAGAAAATCTATAGCATGTTGATGCATGTTGTCTATAGTCTATAAAGCAATCTTTTCAGGATTTAGATTCTGTATCAACCGATCTTCCGCACGGCTGGCTTCAGAAACCACATTGGCCTGGTGGGCTTCGTTGGACTTCCCTGCGCTGGCGCTGGAGCTGCTGACACTCTTCGTGGGCGACGAGCTGCCGCCGGAGGAGCTGGCGGATGCCTGGATGGGGAGACGTCGCTGGCTGGCCAGCGAAATGTGTACCCTCTGGTAAACTAACATAGCTATGGAAAATCACCATTTTCAATTGGAAAATCCACTATAAATCACCATTTCAATAGCTATGTTAAATTACCAGAGGGTAAAAATCTCGAAAGATATGGGGAAACTTTTTGGGAAAATCCTGGAAACATATAGAAACAATGGTGATTCACGATCAATCCCTTCATATACTCCCCCGAATGATAAACACCTGGAGGAGTTTTTAGTATTGGGGTGCGAAGCTTCCCCCTGATATTAAAATAAACACCTTGATATAGAAAAACTATGTTTTCCCATGTCAAAGTCGATTAAATGTTCTTTAATCTTTAGAACTTTAATTATCATATTACCAAAAACTGATTTTCAATGCTTTCCTCTAATCTTAAATTTGAAACCTTATTTTTTGTTAAACAAAAAGTTTTCAATCTTAAAAGTCCGACCCTGATAAAAAAAAAACACATCCGGGTTGACTAGTTTTTATCATTAGGGGGTGAAACCCGCAAATGGGACCCTCATTGTTAATTTGTTTTCGAAAGGGGATCAATTGAAAATCAAATTGGTCAGTCTGAAATGTCCCAAAAACTAACGTATTTAGGGTACGTTTAGTAATAGGGGGAAGGGGAAGGGATTTAACATGATTAAATAATTTAACCATCAAAAATGGTGGTAAGAATGGAGATATAATCGGATTCAATGGTGATTTGGATGAATTGTAACGACCTCGTCGCGACGTCACTGGAATGACGATTGCTAAGGGTAATCAGCACCAAATTATATACTGAATCGCAGGTTGGTGGATTACTAAATGATTCATCCAGATGGGTATGCGATGAGCCAGAACGTACAAAAGTGGGGTGTAAGTCCAACTACACTGACTCAGACTCTGGTAAATAGATTGGTTCAACCAATAAGAAACATGGGCTTCGAAAATCAACTATGCTGGATACGGTGGTTTCTTGATTGAAGTGGTATCCCCAAGTCACCATACATTTCAATACTAAATGATCTCAATTTACTGTAGATGATCCACGTTCGAAACCCTTGAATTCATGTTTAGGAAGGGGCCCCTTGTAAGGGTGTGGCATAAGCAGAACTGTGGTCAGCGTAAGACAGCGTAAGCTCCGCGTAAGACAAGATGTGGGCGGAAGCAAAACGTGTACGCGTGTAAGGAAAACGTAAGCAATGGCGTAAGCATTTCCTTGTTTGTTGCCAGAATAAGACATTTAGAATCATTGAGAACATGGCTCGGGTGATTTGGGGGGACCTCCATTTAGGAAACCCCCAAAATGATATCATATAAACTGGCTACAAATTGGGAGTAACATGGAGTAAGACGACACCATTGGTTCAAATTGGTTCAACAGCGACAGGGTTTGCTCAAAGCCAACGGATCGCGGGATGACTTTCTTACCCACAGTTTTTTATGGCTGGTTGGTGGTTTCAAACATGAATTTTATTGTTCCATAATATGTGGGATGTCATCCTTCCCATTGACTTTCATATTTTTCAAGATGGTTAAAACATGTTAAAACCACCAACCAGAAACTCATGATGTAATCTTTTACGTTAAGTACCTTATTTTCAGCAGACAAAGTCGGTCTTTTTTGCGTGGGGCAGGTGGCAGTTGCTGGGGGCCGGGGATGGCAACATTGTTTTTTCCCGCTTGGTTTGGGTTGTTGAACCAAGATTGAAGCCTTATCATATCCACTTTACTGATAGACATGGGCTCCATATCCATGGGACTTAACATGATTTATCATGAAATTTACGTATGGTGCGGAAACTTGGTGTAAGGGCTTTACTACCCTGTTGGAGGATATGATAAACAACGTGGTACCATGGACACACCAAGGATACTTTCCTGACCATGGAGCCTAGCCGAGGATGTGGTCCATGGAAGCTACGTGAATTTCTCCCACAAGGATACCCTCCGGTAATTTGTATAAGATAGCCATGATAGCCATTGCCAATTTATATATGGTTTTGCTGTAAAGAATGTTGATTTTCCATAGCTATGTTTAAAATCACCAGAGGGTAATTCCTCTGAGAATTGGTGTTCTTGTTTTCCTTGACCACTTGATTTCCTTGTTGTTTTTGCAGAAGCCCATCACTCTAAGTGAAAGTTGAACACATACATAACCAGATCTTTTTCCGAGCTTGGTTTCTTGGGTTGAACTACTGTGTTGTTTTTTTTTACAAATCCACCCAAAAACAAACCTACATTTCAGCAGTGTTCAAAACCCCTGTTGGTTGATGATTAGGGGAATATACTACTACCCAATATATTGGGGATTATAGTTATAGTATGTTATAGTATATATATATATATGTATATATGTTATAATGATCCAATAGGAGAATCCCTGTAAACCAGCCAGTATAATGGAATGATAGAGGGATTTTGAACACTGCTCATTTCTGTTGAGACGTGCCACGTCTCACGTCTCGCTGTTTTGCAGTACCCAGCCAGTGTCCCTGAGTCCCTCTGGGTAAACCTTGGAACAAACGGTACCCAAACGGTACCCATCCAGTCATGACGCTGCTTAAAATGGATGCGGAAATTCCTTCCGTGAACCCAGGTACCCTCTGGTAATGACTGTTACATAGCTATTGAAAGATTCACCATTTTCTTTAATGGGTTTTTATCCACTATTTCTATGGGCCATAGCTGCAATAGCTATGTAACAGTCATTACCAGAGGGTAAATTCATAGATGTTGACCCATCCAATCCATCCCCACGATGGAGGGAATGACATGTCCAGTGGCCATCTGGGTTTGTCCTTAAAAGTCACCCGAAATTCCGATGGCTCATCATCATCCTCATCATCATCATCATGATGTTAGGTTGTAAACATATAACAGTTATATGGTACAATTATATGGAATTATATGGAATTAATATTTATATATATATGTACGTAACTGTACGTATAAAACCATGGATTGTATATTAGCTACTCTACAGCCATGTCACCGTCCCTTAACGAACATCGTGCAGGACATCGTGCCGGTGATCCCGTTAGCCGAGGCTGTGCCCAGTCAGCAACGACTGGAGGGTTTTTTTTCTGGACGATTCCTGTTGGGAATGGAATGTTAATGGGCCATTAATGGGTGTTAATGTATGTTAATGGTCATTTGATGATTTATGGATTTGGTGATGTCTGTAATGGGGGTTACATGATCTATAGCTACTTTATCATTATAAATGACACTTATCACTTTTCATTATCCACAATTCATGGGGGTTTTCATGGATGTTATATACTGGATATTCATGGTAAATCGGTGATTTTTGGATCTGGCTAAATTATAATGACCTCACTCCGACCTCACCGAAATGATGATGAGATATGATATGATTAGGATTCGGGGAATCATGCCCAATCGACCTTATTTTAAGTTGGTGATTTATTGTAATCCCGGTTCATATGAAACACCCCATTTCTATGGTCCCAATTCAGTGGAAATTCCCAATAAAAACCAAGGTTTTGTTTAGGGGGTGTTTGATATGAACGAGTCGAAGGGATGAATTTCGCTGAAATCAGATGAATACTTCTTCGAATTCACCACTGTTCAAAAAAAGTGCACTGAGGAACCAGCAATCCGAAAGATGTTTCAAATTCAGAAGCGACCCATTTTCTGGAGATATGTGGATTTCAAATCGCTGGTTCCAACAATGCTTTGGTGGTAAAACAATATAAATTGTGGCTGTCAGAGTGCTTTGGATGGGAAACTACCAAGGAGACATAGGAAGCCTGTAGTTTGCCATCCTCGCTTCACGTCTAAATAGCTTGCAAATGGATGTTTATCCCCCGTAGATCAGGGATGATCAGGGTATATAATAGTATATAATATATATATATTAAACATACACGTAAATTTGGCATTCTAGGATTTGACTTGTGAAATTGTGGTGAGATGGCATGATTGCCAATGGTATCTTTGAATTCATCAACACATATATATATATATATGCTATATATATATATTACCAACGAAAGTCATCATCCAAGAAAACTGATTTAAAAAATGATAAAGGTATAAAAGCAGGTAAAAGTGGGTATGGGTCAAAGTTTCTTAGACCCTGAGAAACTGTAGACTGGTCATGTTGTAGTTTCAGGGATCTAAGGAAAAATCATGGCTGTATGTTTTTTTTTATCATGAAGCAAGATTGAATCCTCTTGGTAGATAAGCTAAGAGATTGATCATGATTCCATGATATATGAAACCTTAACGCTTCCTTATCATTTGGTTCCCAGTTTGGCGGCTTGAAATAGAACGTTTCTTGTTTCAAGGAGTAGAATCTACATAGAATCGAAAGGAGAAGAACCACTGCAACAGGCAGGTTTCAGTGGGCCATAGAAGTGTTCTATGGTCTTTTCAGGATTTTCTGGTTCACCCATGGACAGGGCAAGTGGTTGAGTCGATGTTTCCCAGTAAAATGGGGGTTTCCTAGAATGGGGTACCCCTAGTTATCCTCCATTTTAGATTGGGATTTTCCATGAAATAAACCATCCAGCTATTGGGATACCCCATTTATGGAACCCCCCACATGGGGATGTTTTTTTTACAATCAGTTCAAACTGAGATTTTGGGTACCTCACGACCCCCGGTCTCAGGCGGTTGTGGCAGAGCTGTTCCACGGTCCCACCTACTGCTTCAAGGACCTAGGGCAGCAACTGCTGGTGCCATGGCGAATAGTACAAGAAAACGGCTGGATTTCAGCTGCCCAGTGATCATGATTGGGTTGCCAACATTCAAGATCATACCACCCAAGTAGAGCTCATGAATTTTCCACGCATGTCCGAGTTTCACTCTGTTCACATATTCCAGTGCCATAGACTTTGATTAGCTCAGTAGCGTATAACTCGAGGCAGTTGACATGACAAGCCTGAACAAGCCTGAAAACTTGCAGCAATCGCATCTCCAAACGCGTTCTTAGAAAATGTGAAGCCTGTGAAGCCCTTGCATCTTGTGCCTTGTGTACCAAGTGTACTATGTCTACCAGAAAATGCGCCTACTTAGATGACTGTCCCATGCCGGTTCGGAAGCAGTTGGGAACCATGGTGGATCTCCATGGAGCCACGAGGAGAGACTTTGTGAGGTAGATCAGAGAAGTTTTGGTTGTGATCGGAGATGCAGGAAAAGCAGAAAGGGTGCAGACCATTTAACATAGCCATGGAAAATGGCCCATTTATAGAGGTTTACGGAACTCAAAAATGGCGATTTTCCATGGCTATGTTAAATAACCAGATGGTAAGTAATGCAGAACGGCATCTTTCACAGATCAGCAAACACCAATCAAAACACCTCCTGGAAAGGGATTTTGTAATATCACATGTGCTTCCAAAAGGTTTTGACACCGGAAAGCCACTGATTAACTTGGCAAAATGCAGGCAGAGGCAGTTTTCACATCAGTTTACGCGTATTAGCATCAGTTAACGCTAATTTCACATCATTTACCCTCTGGTAAACAACCACATAACTATAGAAAATCACCATGCTATCAATGGGTTTTTATCCACTATTTCTATGGTCATGGCTTCAATAGCTATGTAACAAATTAACATCATTTACCACTTTTAAGCCATAGTTATCATCATAGGTTCATCCTAATGGTACCGGTTCCAGACCTGGCGAAGCCAGTGGCGTGGCGCCAGGTGCGTCTCCTGGCACGCTTTGCCGAGCGCGACAAGCAGAAGAAGACCTTCTTGGTCCTTCGCTTGCGCAACAAGCAGGGCGGGGTGTAATGGGGGGTGATTGTAGTGGTTATTTGGAGGTTTCCTAAAATGATGGTACCCCTAGTTATCATCCATTTTAGATTGGGAATTTCCATGAAATAAACCATCCAGCTATTGGGATACCCCCGTTTTGGAAACCCCTATTTAATGTTACTTATGGAGGGATTGTTGGATGGGACAACAGTTTAGCACTAACTTACTAATGAATTACTTTTTTGATATGAACAGGGGATTTTTACTGACCAACATTTAAATGCAGGGTGTTTGAGATTGGGAATGATCTAGACTTATTTCAGAAGACACCCTTGGGGCATCTTGGGGCCGTGTTATTGATATCTTATAATCACTATAATTCACCAACGCTTGGTGCTTTGGAACACGTTATAATCACTGTAATTCACCCTGTATTGATATGTTATATATAATCACTATAATCACTATAATTTTATGACTTTCCATTCGCAACTGGGAGGGTCATGGCATCCCAACTGACTGACGAACTCACTCCATCATTTTTCAGAGGGCGATTGGGCTCACAAGAAATCCCTAAAAACCAATCCTCAAAGCCCGGCCACGAAAAAATTAGCTGCTCGTGGTGGAAAACCATGAATATCGGCTCGTGGTTTCAACCAAACAGCTGGGATGATTGGTTGAAATGTCATTCATCTATGGATTAAGGTGAAAACCAGAAAAACCAGTTATTCAAATTGATATTCTGAATAAGTAAGATTCATAGGTTGTCAGTTGTCAGGTGAAATCCTGAAATATAATGAAATATATATATATAATTATATATATAATTATAGATATATATAAATAATTGTATATATATAATTAAATATAATTATATATATAATTATGTATATGTATCATGGATATTCATGGGCTATATACATGTACTCATCACGAACTGGAGTCTAGACACTGGAGCTCGTTAAGACGTTAAGAATCAAGACCCGTTTTTCTCGGCAGTTTCAAAAGTCAAGTTGTTTGACGTTTTTTCTCGGGAGGTATACTACTTATATAATATTGTGGGGATTATCGTAATCTGTCAATTATTCGAATCCCCATACCCCAATCATTCGAAAGGGGCTTTGCAATAGGCTTATTGTTTTTATATGTTTTTATTTATATGTCCCACAATATGTTCCTATAGTTCGGAACATATATACAATCATTGAACAAATTGAAATTTTCAGAAAGATCCGTGACTCTTGCTGGTTGGTGGTTTGGAACATTGTTTATTCTTCCATTCAGTTGGGAATAGCCATCCCAACTGACGAATTCATAATATTGTTCAGAGGGGTAGGTATACCACCAACCAGCCAATAATATCCCATTAATAGTCCATATAATATATATATATATATCCCATTAATATGCCATATATATATATATTCCAATAATATCCCATTCCCATAGGATCCATGGGACTTGGGACTTTCCTATCACTGGAACGGGTGCCGACCACCGGTGACTGCGGTCTCCGATCGGCTCCGTTCTTCCGAGGGTCCGACTGGGCTCCCTTAGGTGTCGACCACCGGTGACACGGGCCCCGCGGCAATGCGGCTCGGCTCGAACTCGCTGGATCCTAAGATTTTACTGTTCTATACGTTTTGTTTTTGGTGGTTGCTATATATATATATGTAATGTAATGTAATGTAATGTAATGTAATATATGTATAAAATTGTATAAATAGAACAGTATAATTATATATAGTTGTGTATAGTTATATATAGTTATATATAGTTTTATATAGTTTTATATATAGTTATATAGTTATATATATAGCTATAAATAGAATATATAGAATATATAGTTATATTTAATTATATAGTTATAGTCATATATAGTTGTATATAGTAATATATAGTTTTATATAGTAATATATAGTAATATATAGTTATATCTGTTTATATATAGTTATATATAGTTATAGATAGTTATATATAGTTATATATAGTTATATATAGTGATATATAGTTATATATAGTGATATATAGTTATATATAGGTTTATATAGTTATATATAGTTATATATAGTTATATATAGTGATATATAGTTATATATAGTTATATATAGTTATATATAGTTATATATAGTTATATAGTTATAGTTATTTATAGTTATATTTAGTTATATATAGCTCTTAGTTATATATAGTTATATAGTTTTAGTTATATATTTATAGTTATATATAGTTATATACATGTATGTATATAACTATATATAGTTATATCTGTTTATATTTAGTTTTATATAGTTATATATAGTTATATATAGTTTTATATAGTTTGATTTAGTCATATATAGTTTTTATCTAGTTTTATATAGTTATATATAGTTATATATAGTTATATATAGTTATATTTAGTTATATATATAGTTATATATATATGTATAGATAGTTATACATAGTTATATCAAATTATAAATAGTTATATATAGTTATACATATTCATATTTAGTTATATATATAGTTATATAGTTTTATTTAGTTATAGATAGTTATATATAGTTATATATAGTTATTTATAGTTATATATAGTTATATATAGATATATTTAGTTATATATAGTTTTATATAGTTTTATTTAGTTATAAATAGTTTTATCTAGTTTTATATAGTTATATATAGTTATATATAGTTATATATAGTTATATATAGTTTTATTTAGTTATATATAGTTATATATAGTTATATATAGTTATATATAGTTATATATAGTTATATCTAGTTATATCTAGTTATATATAGTTATATATAGTTATATATAGTTATATATAGTTATATATAGTTATATATAGTTATATATAGTTATATATAGTTATATATAGTTATATATAGTTATATATAGTTATATATAGTTGTACATAGTTAAATATAGTTATATATTTTTATATATAGTTATATATAGTTATACATAGTTATATATAGTTATATATAGTTATATATAGTTATATATATAGTTATTTTTAGTTTTATATAGTTATACATATTTATATATAGCTATATATAGCTATATATAGTTATATATAGTTATACCTATATAATGTGGCTAAAACAATGCCATTTTTACCACCCATGACTGAGAATGGTAAAGTTTTACCACCTATAAAAATGGTGATGGCTGGGTGATGGTTTATTATTGTTTTAACCACATTGTATTATATAAATATATATATATGAGTGCTCATATATAATTATGTATATACCTATATTTATATACATACATACATACATACATACATACATATGATTAGTTTGCGTTTTCCCGAACCTGGCGCTTCCTGAAGGCGTGCTGTGGCAGATGCTGCATCTGACTACCTGCAGATCGTGGTATTTTTTCCTTCTGGGCAAATTTCAGAGCTTCAAAGGCCTTCCACTGTCAGTGGGGAATCAGAGGCAAGAGAAAGTGTAAAGCTTAATTTGGTTCTGTGAATTAGCCAACTCGACGAGGTAGCCTTGTATTGGTTTGTTGCATGTTTGGACTGGGTTAGAAAAACTTTTGGGGAGCCACAAAGTTTGATTTTCCGTCACTAGAGGTCCAACTCCACAAAAGGAAGGAAAGAAACTTTTGCGGTGTAAGAAAGTTTTTTGAATGCATTCTACCCGAGCTTGCTTTGCTTTCATCACTATGAGCTATGAGCATGAAAGAGCTGCAAGGAAAACTATTAAAAACAAATCATTGTACGAGAAGTTTTTTTGGGGTCAAGCTGTCGAACTTGCTCTTGTTTTAGCCACCATGACGCTCAAAGTGCTGGTGACCAGTCCTACCCTTGAGGCAAGCCCGATCCCCAAACTAAACTTTTCAGTGGCGAAAGAGTTTTTTTGTTCGCTTGGCTTGGGCTACCCCACAACCTTAAACTTTAAACCCCTACTCAGAAATGACGAGGGGAAGTTTTCTGTATTGAACATGGGAACTAGCGAGGCGTCCCGTTGTCACATGAGGTAACCCGAAAATAAACTTTTAAGAGGGGGAAAAGTGTTCTGTCGCTTGGTTTGGGCCCCACCACAACCTGAAACCTTCATTCCTTATTGAGAAATAACGAGGACAAGCTTTATTTCCATCATGCGAATTAGCGATGCGAGGCGATAAAACTGGGGAACAAAATAGCACACGAGGGAGACGAGGTAAGAAATAAAGTAATTTTGGCCGATCATATATCAATTACATGTATCTCTGTTCTTCTTAATCAGTCCTCACAACCACTCACCTGTAAATGATAGTATGCCATAGTATGCCAATGTCCCCAGGGTTTCGGGGGACTTATTAAATAACCTGGATCTATGTCACAATGTCATATATACATTATATATATAAGATATATGTATATATATATATATATATTTGGTACTAGATCACCTGAATTACATCAATCAATATAGTAGTATAAAATTACATCAATCAATATAGTAGTATATGACATTAATATAGTAATATAATGTAATATGCTACATCAATAGTTCTTTTCGCTACATGGGGCGGCTGCGAGGCGCCAGATGACCACCGCTTCCACTGCGAAGGCCAAAGTTGCCACCTTTGAGGGCGGTGGAGACGACATGGATTTGTTACCTGGCGTCGGGGATGGGGACTCGACATAGCCAATGAATGGATAGCGTGTTTGGGGGTTTAAGATACTTAAGAATACGTAAGAATTTAAGAATGGAAGATGGGGTTCAGTGTTCAAAAAAATGGGGTTTCAATATATAGTTCAAGCAAATGATATGGCATCATAGGAGCCAGATGTGGGCATTATTAGAGGACGAAACAATTCGGAAGTCAACCAGCTAAGGAGACAACACCTACAATGTGGGGCCCCCAAGATAGCTAAGTTGGTTTATAACTACAATCACTAGGGTTTGTGGTAGTTATAACCATAGTTAGATGGGGTTATAAACCAACTTATAACTAGGGGGCCCCACATTGTATCAGCCGAGGTCATTTCTCATAACCGCTGCTAGGCGCCCATAAAATTTCACATCGGGATTCCAGCATTTTATCGGCCATGAGTTGGGACGGGCTTTGGGGCGAGGGATTTCATCAACAAAACAACGCGCCGACGTTCACCAAGAATTGAAGTGGGTTGATGTAGTCAATAAACATCATCTGCAGTGAAAAGGGATGGATGAAATATTGACCATACTTAAGCAACTGACCATGTTCGTTGCTCTGCATAAGCCTTTCATTCATGGAAGATGGACATTTGGTAATTGTAATGAAGATCCTGATTTACGAAAAAATACTGAAGGAAATATTTTAGGGGAGCATGTCTCTCTTCCTATGTAATAAATCCATGGAGACATCAAGAGAGACCTAAGGAAGTAGTTGGTTTTGAAATGAAAACCTAAGCTGAACATATCTATACAGTCTGTTGTTTCATGTTTATTTTGGGTGGGTCCACAACTCTTGGATGCATCATGACAGCCTTGGCAAAAATATCCATGTTTTCGATATAAGATAATATAAGGCAATATCAATCGATATATATATATATATGATTATATATATATATGGTTATATATATATATGATTATATATATATATTATATATCCATATAGTATAAGGCTATATCCATCCATTGCAATACTATCCAATTACCCTCTGGTTATTTAACATAGCCATGGAAAGTGGCCCATAGAAATAGATGGTTTACCTATTAATAGCATGGTGATTTTCCATGGCTATGGCACAAATAACCAGAGGGTATATCCATTATATCGATATTCCATGACTCGGGATTCCCATCGCCATGATTCCCCATTCCAAGGCCGTTGAAGAGATTGAGCTCGGACCGAGCCTTCGTGGAAAAGCATGGGTTGCTTGGTGAGGGGAACGTCATAGAAGATCTAAGGGAAACAATATATATATATATAAGTAGTGACATATATTATACCATTATAGTTGGTTTATATAGAATAATTAGTGGGACAACTAGGACAACCGCAAGGGGAGAATGAACGTTTTTGCTAGAGTTTGGATATATCATCAAACACATGAATCACATGTAATATCTGAGGGTCTGTATGAAACTAGGGGATACCCAACGATGATCATTCAGGGGAATTGGGGATACCCATGTTTTTGACCGCTTTGCAAGTGGCTCTTCCTGGCTTCCTGGACAATATGTTTCAGCAAATCGCAAAGTAGGCCCTTAACCCCTCAACAAGCAGTGAACAAGAGTCTTCTTGATTAAAAAGTACGGTACAAAAAACTGGATCCCTTTTCTGGATTTAGTGAAGCTCGCAATGTGGCGCATGCAATGCGTGTATGGGATGTATGGGGTCTTCTAACCCATGCTCCTTTCCCACCACGTGACCCAAGACATTGCACGGATAACATGGACTGGTCATCGTGACATCGTGCCTTTTGCAATGGATCCCACCAGATGACAATGACACAGAATGAACCGGGTAAACGAAATAGACTTTCTGCAAAGATTGTTCTTCATGTTCTTATGATTTTTGTCAACATACCCAATCTGTGTCCATTCAACTTGATGGTTCAACCACCAACCAGTTTTGTTTGCCAAACCTATGGTGCTTTGCCACCAACAAGTTGTACCTCTAAATACACTTCTTCATCATTAACATGTTGTTTTTATTGGCCAATTCGGATGTGGTAAGTACCAAACGTTATGAGACAGGCCGATCTGAGCCAGTTGAGCCATGTTCAGCCATCAAATATTCCACTTAAATGCCTATTTGTTTCACCGCCATTCCAAATACCCTACTTCTGATTCCATTTTCTCTCTATGGTTTCAGCTTACATGGCCATCCCCATTGACTAATATCTTGGGGATACCGTGGATACCCCTAAAAACACACTGGTTACTAATCACAAACATAGGGACCCTACATCTACTTTCCATTGTATAAGACCACCCTGGCCATGGCCATTTAAGGCACCCTTTCCCCCAGCTGGAGCCAGGCTCTGTGGGATCAACTCTTATAACTTGGGCCGTCCGTTGGCTCAGCTTCCGCACTTCTTCTGGTCCTATTTCCGCGCCGTGGAGCAGCTGGGCTTCGCCCTTGGGAGCCCGGTGGATCTGGTGATTCCCGGGGGGGCCTTGGGCAACACTGCGGCCGCATTCATGGCCAAGGAGATGCTTGGTATTGCGGAAGTGGTGAGGTTTTTTGTTTGATAAAGTTTCCAGGCTAAGAATTGGAGATGATAATGAGATATAGTGAGCTTCCGATTCTGGTTGGTGATTTCAGAGAGATAGATATGAAATATGCCCGAAGGAAGTTTAGAAGTCAAACTTCCGACAATATGGACAGATGGAAAAGCAGAGGTGGGAAGAGGCAGAGAAGAGAAGAGAAGAAGAGAGAAGATCAGAGAAGAGAAAGAGTCAGAAGAAAGAAGATGCAGGCGCGGGAAAAGGTAGAAAAGTCGCGAAACACTGTGTTTTTCCAAACGGAGGGTCGAAAAGTAGGCTTGCTAAAGCGGCGGGTGCGGAGTCAATTTGGCCAGATGAGAGATGAAAACTTTTGCACGGTGTTGTGGCGCGAAGCACATTTCGAAGTCAAAATGTGCAAAGCACACCAACGTTGGAGCACTTTTAGAAGTTGGGCTGTCGAAAAAGCGCGCGCCGTTGTGGCGCGAAGCATATTTCCAAGTCAAAATGTGCAAGCACACCAGCTTCGGAGCACGTTTTGAAGTTGAGATGTCGAAAAAGTGCATGCCGTTGTGGCGCGAAGCACCTTTCCAAGTCAAAATGTTGAAAACACCACATGCTCGGACCGCTTTTGAAGGTTCAGATGAGGTTTTGCGTTGCAGGTGCAAGGGATTCTGCACCTTGCCAAAAATGGGAAACGTGACGGTTTTGTAGCATATCCAAACACGATGGCAGGCGTGGGACATTTGAAGAGGATCTGGAAAGATGCATTTCGCGTGGCAGGCGCAGTACAACAGACGTGCTCATCAGAGATATTAGGAGGTCTGGGCACTGATTTCCTGAGAGGGTTTGCATTTTGGAGCATCAGATCTTCAGGTTTGCCAAGATGATTTTGCGTGACAGGTGCAGCACTTCGTATGACCTGGCATCACTTTTTTGTGGCAGGCGCAGTACTTTATACAGATGGAGCACTCAATCTTCTATTTTTGAAGGAAGTCTCGCAGAATTGCCGCGCTTCTGATGTTGTCGAGTTCAAAAATGGAGGAATTGTCGCAGAATAGCTTCTTTTTGAAGCTTGCAGATAGACAGATAGATAGATAAATAGACAGCTACAAGTACAACTACAACTACAACTACAACTACCACTACACTACTACTAACAACAGCAACAGCAACAACAACAACAACACCAACTACTACTACTACTACTACCACTACCACTACCACTACCACTACCACTACTACTACTACTACTATTACTACTTCTACTTCTACTACTGCTACTGCTACTACTACTACGACGACGACTAACTACTACTACTACTACTACTGCTACTGCTACTGCTACTGCTACTGCTACTGCTACTGCTACTGCTACTGCTACTGCTACTGCTACTACTACTACTGCTACTGCTACTGCTACTGCTACTGCTACTGCTACTGCTACTGCTACTGCTACTGCTACTGCTACTGCTACTGCTACTGCTACTGCTACTGCTGCTACTGCTGCTACTGCTGCTACTGCTGCTACTGCTACTACTACTACTACTACTACTACCGCCACCACAGCTACAACTACACTTGCAACTGCGCTACATTACACTACACTACGCTAATTACTCTGCAGCATTCTACAACTACAACATACTACAACTACAAATGCAACAACAACTACAATACATTACACTACACTACGTACAGTACATTACGCTACAACTACAACTGCAACTACAACTACAACCACCACTACATTGCACTACACTAAACTAATTACATTACACTTCGCTACAGCTACAACTACACTACTTTACACTACACTACTTTACACTACACTACGCTACAACTACAACTACAGCACGCTACACTACACGACATTACACCTACGCTAATTACACCATACCACAACTACACCTGCAACTGCACTACACTAAATACATTACACTACAGCTACAACTCCACTACGCTACACTACAACTACAACTGCACTACACCACACTACATCCAGGAGTTGTTGGTGAGGTGACCGCTGCAACCATTGCAACCACTCCAAAAAAAAACTCCAACCACCTTTTGGTCCATCAGTGGGTTCGCTCTGTCATCCATGCATCACAACAACTCACCTCTCCTATAGGTGTCCTATCCTTGAAACTTCTGCCACCGCCTTGCGCGGCACTGCTGGAACTCCAGATCGGGAACTGGGACTGGTCCCGAATGTGACTTTGGGCCATAGTATTTTTGAAGTGGTTGGCTCATACACCAAAGGCTTTATTTCAGCTGGTGAGCCTGGGGATGTTTTTAGTTTGATTTCTTTGACAGATTTTGCACCCAGAGGACAAGTAAGTTTAGTGATTAGTGTGTTTTGGTGAGTCATGTTCGAAGTGATTTCCTCAGAGTTTTGGCAATACGGAATGACTTGGAGATGCATGGGAAATCTAGCATAGTTTTCCCTTTTCTGGGGTACAACTGACTCCAAGGATGGGTCTGCCAGTGCAGCGCTTGATCTGTGGAGTGAATCAAAATGACATCACCCATCGGACGATCTCCAAAGGACATCGATGCGAACATGTGGCGCTGGGCCGCTGGGGTAAGGGGATGGCTGCCAGGAGTGCAAAAAAAAACTACAATCCATGCAAAATGCCCTTAGTTGATTGGTTGTTATAGGGAAACCATGGGAAACCGTTTTCAACCATTATTTCAAGAGATGGGAAAGCATTGTATTTTTTGATGGTTCTTGTTGGAAAGACGTTGGTTTCCTTATGCCATCTGGACAGAGGTTGATGGTTTGATCGGAGCCCCAGGTTTTCAGCTGATTCCCATGGATCACATTTTTTGTTCCATGAAATGTTGGACATGTATTATCATGGATTATCACATACCCAATTTTCAATGTGTCGCTACCCAAGTTGGGCCAGGAGAGTTCCACCGGCACGAGTGCATGTTCAAGACCCTATCGGATGCCATCAACATCCAGGTATTTGGTGTGGAGATGGGCAAATGGGTCGTGGGGGGGTCCTTGAAATTGAATGGTTTGAGATATTAGGCATAACCCCAGAATATATGTGCAGAATATGTATAATATGTATATATTATATTTTGAATATGTAGCAATACAATGCTATATCTAAGTTTCAAATTGATCCAAACATTAGAGACTTGGAAATTCTAAGAAAGAGATCAACCAAAACATTTAGCAAAAACTCTACCTATTTGATCCCCTTTCTGCAGGTTATTTTGTGGAGCTAAAAGCCTGATCAAACATGGACAATGGTGGTAGATGAGCCGGCATTAGGTGTACCAACACCATTGAGGTGTTCCCCAAAATCAAGACGGACACCACCGGAGGTTCTCCAATGTCCCAGCAGGACCGCCTCTGGACTATCCAAACTCATCCATTATCATCTGGGTTTCGTGTGAAATAGGGTACCCCCTGGTACCCCTAAATCCGCTCGATCATCATCAAGTTCTCATGAAATTGCCGTTTTGGGCGGTATACCCCATCCTCAGACACACCCATTTGGATTTTTGTCAAGCCGTTGACTTGGGTATCCCACCATGTTGAAAATGTCTACCCTTGACATCCCCCGACCAAATGTATTTGATACTGTATACTGTAGATCATGGTCTACCATTGCTCCAACTTTGACGCTGCGAGGTGCCTTACAACATGGAACGTATCTTCTACTACCTCACAGGCGGGAGTTCGCTGATTGTATCCGGCAAGGATGGAGGTTCTGTCCAAAACTTGGGCTGTGCAATTGGAATTGGTACGAATTTCGTATCTTTTCGTGCTATTCTCAAAAGTGTGTGTTGATGGATGGTTGATGGTTTGGGTAGTTATGTAATGTATTATGTTTTTTTCCGGTCCGTGGGAATGATGTTAATGCTAGTTTTGTGCATAGATTGCATAGTATTGGAATAATATCAAATCATATCTCTCACAGATAGAATATTCCATAGCCCAAACACCAGGCATCATAGATAGATTATGTTTTAAGATTAACTATTTATATATACACACACATCACTTCGTCTGAATCCAACCTAACTTCCCTTGTACATATTAAACATCAAATCAAATCATCCATCCAGTCAGCAGTTGACCTCAGGTCGTTTAGCAGCCGACAAAAATGCGGAGAAAAAATACGCGTGTGGTTGTATTTAGATACATACGGATATAGATAAATCATTCAGAAATGCATGCATAAGGATATATATATATATATATAAATATAGCTTAATGGAAGAATTGCATCCTTTTGATGATGTCATATTGGCTACTTCGTCAACCTCACCGGATATAGGTATGGCCAAACATTCATTACATATTTGTATTCTCAGTGAGCGCACTTTAAATCTGCTCTGTCAATTTTCTGACAATTTTCTGTGGCATTTTAGGCGAAAAAGCACTCAATTCTCTGCCTATTCAATCTCTTAGAAGTTCACTAGGATGGTAGGATAGGATTAGGCAGGATTAGATAGAGTTACATTAAATTAGGATTAGATTAAATTAGATAGGATTAGATAGGGTTAGGTTAGATCAGGGAGGATTAGATAGGGTTAGGTTAGATTAGGATTAGATTAAATTAGATAGGTTTAGAAAGGGTTAGGTTAGATTAGGTAGGATTAGATTGGGTTAGGTTAGATTAGGATTAGATTAAATTAGATAGGATTAGATAGGGTTAGGTTAAATTAGGTAGGGTTAGATTAGATTAGATCAGATTAGAACAGATTAGAAAGGTTTAGATTAGATCAGATAGGATTAGATAGGATTATTAGATTAGATAGAATCTCATAGGATTAGATTAGATGAGACAGGGCTAGACTGGATTAGATAGGATTCGATAGGACTAGATGAAATAGAATAGGGCTCATAGCGTTAGATTGCATGGGAAAGGATTAGATCATATTAGATTAGATAGGATTAGATAGGGTTAGATCAGATTAGATAGTATGATTGGGTTGGATACGATTAGATAGGCTTCGGTTAGATTAGATAGGATTAGATAGGGTTACATTAGATTAGATGGGATTAGATAGGGTTAGATTAGATTGGGTAGGATTAGATAGGGTTAGATTAGATTAGATAGGATTAGATAGGGTTAGATTAGATTAGATAGGGTCAGATTAGATTAGATAGGGTTAGATTAGATTAGATTAGATAGGATTAGATAGGGTTAGATTAGATTAGATAGGATTAGATTAGATTAGATAGGGTTAGATTGGATTAGATAGGATTAGATTAGATAAGATTAGATAGGGTTAGATTAGATTAAATTAGATAGGATTAGATTAGATTAGATAGGATTAGATTAGATTAGATAGGGTTAGATTAGATTAGATAGGGTTAGATTCGATTAGATAGGATTAGATTAGATAGGGTTAGATAAGATTAGATAGGGTTAGATTAGATTAGATAGGATCAGGTATAGGGATCAAAATTTCTTGCAGTGGCTTCACTCCACCGCCTGACCGCCTGCAGCCAGGTGAGGACAGGCTGCTGGTGAAGTCATGGATGGAGCAGATGGATTGCACCAGTGGCGCGAAAAAAACGCTGATGGCCCTATCGAGCCATGAAGGGAGTTGGATTGGGGAGACTATCCCAAAATATCCTTAATGTGATTGTGGGGAACCCGATCATGACAGTTTATAGATGTTTATAGGACCCTAATGATTGTGTTTAGTTTGGGGATTGCTTGTTATTTGGTTTACCACATTCTTTGAGGTTAATAAATCATTATAGTAGTGGGTTGGCAGATTGGGATAGTGAATCATTCTGAATAACTAACCATGATGTTTGGGTTAACATATTTAACATGGTTGTATAGCTATAGGATTTTAAGTTAGTGAATCGTTAAAATTTATCCAGTCCCTGTTGATTGGCGCATAATTACACCAATCGGTGTTTTGGGGAGTGATATTTCTAGCTACATACTTTTCATCAACCAGTGCAATGGATCGGGATAAACGAGGTCATCAATCATCCCACATGATGAAATGGTGGTGTAGTATACCCTACTTTATAAACCACTTCTATTGGGCATGGTTTCTCTCTCGAACATAGGCGAACTATAGAAGAAAACCCAAGATTTCAGGATGGTGAGTTAGATCCGTTTGAATTCCTGATAGACCTTGTGGGAATTCTTTGTGGGTGGTTCCAAAATTAGTACCCAAACCATCACTTTAGGATTGGATGGAATAGGAGGAACTGGAATCGAAGATTGAATCCGTGTGGCTCTCAAAGTTCAAGACACAAGGAGACCACTAATGCTGGGATTTGGTCGGCTAACTTCAGCGACTTCACCATTTGTTGGGTATCCAATTTTGATCTAGCCATGTGTGTTGCAGCTACGTTGAGTACTGTGACTGGATTAGTTTTTCAGGGCGGAAAAAAACCAGCCACATGAAAAAACATAGATGCCTTATCAACCTGGTGGTTGATTGACTCATAGTTGGTTTATAACTACAATTTCACTAGGGTTGATGGCAGTTATAACCATAGTTAGATGGGGTTATAAACCAACTTATAACGTAGCAGGGGGCCCCACATTGTAATAATGTCAAGTCAGGATGATGAAAACCCCCCAAGCTAGTTACATGCCCGGCTCTCCCCCAAGCTAAACATTATGGCAATTGGATGGAAAAACATACTCCTGCAGAACCACCAGATTGTTGGAGATATGAATTTAGTATAATTTAGTATGATTCAATATGATTCCCAGTTTTTTTAAATTGGGGATACAATTTCCAGGGTTGCCTTCTGACCCTTCCTAATGCGAACCTAATTTCAGCCAAAAAAACCCTCAAGGAGGCTACTGGGCAGCTAATTCCAGCGGAATTTGTACCTAATTGGTGCTCATATGCCCCTAATTCCAGCAAATCTTGATTCATCATCAATGAGTCAATGAGAGTAGGTTTTTCAAATCGAGGCGTTTTTTTACCACCCCCAAACAAATGGTTGACCTTGTTGTCCTATAGGAGGCGGTGGTGGGGGTGAGGAAGAATCCAGTCTTGCCATTGCAGAGGGTTGATCCCTTCCACAACAATACAGGTAAATTTAAATGAGTATACCCACCAGTAAATTAACATAGACCCTGGCAGATAGGGGTTGGAAGATTAGTTTCCATTAAAAATTGGTGATTTTCAGGGTCTATGTTTATTTACCAGAGGGTAAATTGTATGCCAAACTGACCACTCGATTTTCGCCAGAAGGACATTGATGCAATTGATGCATGATCTGTATCAGATTGCGTTTTTTGTAGGGAGGACGAGACAAGTGTGTCAGAAAGATATGGGGCTTGCCGGCTTCAGCTAGACGATTCCTTGCTAGCCATTGCCTATGCACAAGGGACTTTATGTATCTTTATGCATCCTTATGCGATGTATCTTTCAGTGTCGGAGCATGTCTGGAGGACTACAGTTTGCGCATGTTAGTTTGCACATGTTAGTTTCTCCCGTCTCTGTGTCCTGCAGTGGCCAGCAACTGCATGATGAACTTGTGCAATCTTACGTGTATGTGTATATATATTTATACATGTTCTTACAAAGTTATTTAATATATATATATATATGTACTGAACATTACTGAGCATCATTGGTGTATGCAACATATAGATATGTGCTGCAAGTATGTAAATATGTATCATATCCAGGGTGTCTACAACTGGCTCACAAACATATGTGTGAACTCAGCATATCGAAGCGCCTGGCTAGGTCAGCTCACCCTACCAGAGGCATGGCATCAGAAGCTCGGAAGTTGCTGAAGGATTGTACCATCCAAAGGGGTTGAACATGGTTTAACCATCCAACAACTGATATACAGTAGCCATTGAATGCCATTGACGTTTGGGTGAGTTCTAGTCATAATCGAGATGATTATTGTGGGATGGACTGGGATATATAACTTATAACCGACAAGACGATATAGCTTTTGTGTTCAGTGGAGGAATATCATGCAGCATATCATACAATATTGTATCCATGGCACATGGAGCGAATGAACCATTGAAAGCCGGAAATTGGAGATGGCTTCCAGTTGAAGGCGTCAAGGGGCGTCGAATTGGGGATTTTATTCCAATCACGGATCCTTTCCCCGAATCATCCCAAATCATTGGGGTTATGTTTAGCTCTGTGATTCCGAACTGGGGCACGACCTTCGGTATTCCGCACCAAGTAACATGACCATGGCACTGTTCCGCACCCAGGAAGATGCAGCAGATCTTTGCGTCCGCACGCATTGACGACGACGCCATGTGCGAAGCCATGAAAAGATCGGTGGCAGAGTTCGGCTATCTGCCATGTCCCCATACCGCGGTGGCACTAGGACGCTGCGTTTCAAGATCTTGGAACGGAAGTTGAAAGATTCTGAAAGATGCTTCAAAAGGATTCAGAAGAGGAGTTCATGATACTTTTCTGTTCATCACCCGAATTTCGAATCTGTTTCGGGGGCGACTGCCTCATCTTGATGATGTCATGGATCAGCAGTTTCAGTGCTGTTTACGTAACAATTCAACCATCCAATTCACAGTCCTTGCCTCAACGTGGTAAAGATTAAAACCAGTTGGGTCATATCAGTAGCAGTTCCGACATATTCATACATAATTCAACCACGACTTTGGTGAACAACCGTTCGCAACTCTGAAGATGACAATGGGTTCTTGAATTGTTGATGAAGCAACCTCAAGGAGCTCAGACTCACTGATGCAGGCAAGACCCTCATCACTGACACTTCAGCCTTGATGTCACCCCTATTTCCCAAGGTGTGTGTGTGTGTGTCTCTGGTCAATCATATAGCACATACAAGACAACAATTACAAACAGGTGTTTCTTGTAGGAGGGAAACCACCAACCAGTCAGGCAGTTCCATCATGTTCCATCCACTGGTGGCTCAGTTGCGCTATGTTTTTTGACCACTGGGGTAGCCTCTGGTAATTTGTATTAATTTGTTACATAGCTATGGAAAGATCCACCATGCTATAGTGGGAAAACTCACTATTTCGACTGGGCCATTTTCAATAGCTATGTAACAAATTACCAGAGGGTATCCCATCTTGACCAAACAGTTGCTGTAGGGCAATTTGACATAATTTGACCCTTGACCCAGGTGACCCAGGTCAGCTCCCGCTTCAGGAGCACATTTTGCGACGCCTGCGGACGTACCACGGGTGATTTTTGCCACCGCTTCGCCCTGCAAGTTTCAAAGCTCTGTGACTACTGCCCTGGGGCAGGAAACCTGGAAGAACTACGAGGACGACGATTGCACTGCCTGGGAATGTGGTGGAAGCTTCGTGGTCTATAGCGGAAGACGGGAGAAGTTTGAAGATTACTTCCCTCTTAATTAAACTGTTGTCAGGGTCTGTGTTAGTTGGGAATTGCAAGCTCCTCTGGTTTTGCTCGGGGTCCTCGCTAGGGAGATGCTTCTAATTCTCTGGCTCAAGCACACCTTGGATGGGTAGTTGCTAACGCCGTGCCGGGTGGCCTGTGCGTTTTTGTTCATTTTGCGTTTTGTAATGTATATATAAGGTGGGGTGGGGTGGGGTGGGATATTAGCGTCCTGACGACCACGTCGTTGATACTAAGTTGTCAACACATGTTCCACCAACTAGGAAGACGTTGATGATACCACGTGATGATACGTTGACAGCACGTTGCGGTGGGGTGGGGTGGGGTGGGGTGGGATATTAACGTCCTGACGACCACGTCGTTGATAATACGTTGTCATCGCATGTTCCACCAACTAGGAAAGGAGCTGGGAAAGCTTTGCAAGGAGCAAATGTGCAAGGAGCTGGGAAAGCTTTGCAAGTGGCGTGCTTGAGTGTGGAAAATGACGCTGACGCCGCCGTTCACAGGCCACTCGACACGGCGTGACCTAGGGTAGTTTAATGCTTTTATCTTTTGACATACATGGGCATATTTACTAACCAGATCTAACAGCTTTAAAAAAAACATTGCACGGCATCCACAATGGTCAATGTCTTCAATCTTCTTTGGACCACCAGAACCTGAATATCCTTTGTTTGCTTTGCCACCTGCGAAAAATCCGGCTGAGACATATGAGGGCTCCTGAATTCTGCTGGGTTCCCTCAGTAATTTTGCCCCAGTGCCGGTCAAGTTGCTCCCGGATGCCCCAGAACACCTTTAGTGATGAACAATTCCAGCACAGGACATAGCAACTATATACTTTTAGCAACCATGAGGTAATAACCAGGCTGGTGTGGGGTTGATGTCAGAATCCTTCTTAGGGGTACGGAATCTGACATGATCTAACCACTTTCAGGGCCAATCTGGGTCGGTATTTCCCACTCAGATGGGGCAGGACAGCTCCAACTTTCCTCCATCCGCTCGAAGTTTGTTCAGCAAGGAGGAAACTGAGCTGAGAGCTCAGGTGTTCGATCATTGCTGTTGTTTTGATGCTTGCATGATGGGTTTGTCTAAAAATAAGGTATCCACCATAGGTATCCCATAATATGATGGTTTATGTCCATTTGCCCTACTAAGAGGACTATTTGGGTGGTATATCCCATTTTCACCCATATACATGCTGAGACTATCCTGGATTATACTTGATTATATACAGATGTTGCCACAGTGAGCTATTTGTGATGAGTGTGTGTGTGTGGCTTCTAAGTGGATTAACTGTATTGGGATCCATTTTCCACAAATGACGCCACAATTCTGGCCCTGGTCCAAGAAAGCGATGACCAAAGCTAGTTCTTACAGCCAATAGATCCTCCATTACTCGGCCTCCCCCCCAGAAAATCCAAAATGCCGACGGTATGCGGATCCCGGGCTCGCATCAACGATTGGCACTTGGACGATCATCCATCCAGGTAGGGAACTGGTAACCTTCAAACATTCAGATGTTTCATGGGGATGTTTCATGCGGTAAAGGGAACTTACAATCCAACTTGCGGGGATTTTCCCTCTGGTAATCAAACATGGTTGGGACTTCCTTACAAATGTAGCTTTGAATTGGAAAATCATTTATAAATGGGGGAAATGTCCATTGCCACGTTTGATGGCCGGAGCTAATTCACGACCCTGCCGTTGTGACTTTCACTTTCGCCATTTCAAGGCCCGAAAGATTTTCTGCAAGAGACACGTTGGGACCTTGAACAACTTGAGCAGACTCCTGCATGAAGGAAACAGACTAGCAAGGACAGGATGAGGACAACACCTTTCATGTGTTCGAAAACGTGTTTAGCCGTATGTTTGTCACAAAAAATTGGACAGAAAAGGACGTCCTAAGGGTACATCTCAGATTTTGTCGGATGACATATTGATCCTTGCAGAAATATGAGGTTGAACAATTCTCAAGATGCCTGGGAACTTCGATTACGAGAAATTCTCGGAAATTAAACAAAAAATTAAAAAATCGAACATTAAATATCTAACATTAAATTAAACAATAAAATTAAATAATTATATTTTAATTTCATATTTAAACATAATTTATAACAATAACATAATTTATTTTTAACAATATATTGAAATAAAAGTTGGATAAAAACATAATATTACAAAAGGTAGCCTCCCAACGGGCTACCTTGAATTTTACTTTGCGAAGCAAAGGGGTGGGTTGGACCCCTTATCCCTGAACGACCAGGAGAAATGGATCCCTTCCCCCTCCCCCCCCCTCCCCAGATCATATGGTACCTTTCTTTACTTTGGACCGCGGATAATTTTCTGAATGGCTCACCATCGTTATTATCATCATTATTATCATCATCATTATTATTATCGTTATCGTCATTATTATTATCATTACCATCATCATCATCATTATCATTATTATCATTATTATTATCATCGTTATTATTGTCATTATTGTCGTTATATGTTTATCTAAGCGTTCGGTTATTTATAATTTATTAATATTTTTGATCTTTAATTAATAATTATATGGCCTATAATATTATATTTGGAATAATTTTTACTTATGAAAATTTAATTTGGATGGAAATTAGGTAATAATTTTTTGAACCACAACTATATTTTTTTGGATCCCTTTGATAATTTAAAACGCTAATGGATAATACTTATTTGTAATATTTGGATTATTTTAAATAAATAGAATAATTAGTGGATTTTGGATTGCTTTGTTATGGTATTTTGACGTTTAGTACATATGTAAGAAGGAAAAGGTCGGAGCTATTCTTGCTGATGTTTGTGTGGTATCCTGGTACCCTTAAATTTTCCATGTTATTGTATTGGAAATTTAACAGCATTGGCGCTATGCACCTCAAGCTTACCTTCAGGCATCGGCTTGGGCAGGCACTTGTCTTTATGCTCCTTGACAAAGCCTTTGAATTTCTCTATGTGCGCTTCCAAAACAGTCGTGGGTAGTTCTTGGGCCGTTCTTCTCTGGAACCATTTTCGTGCCCTTGACACGGACATGGCCACGCCTGAGAGTCTATGTGTGTGTGTGTGTGAGAGAGTGTTTGTGGGTAGAAAAGTTTCAAAGTTATTTTACGTGATTTCCGTATTTGAGGGGTATCAAATAGCTGTTCGCTTAGTAAGTTGGAATGGGTAAAATGGATGAAATAAGTAGCCTGTTGGTTGAAATATGTTTAGGAATATTCGAACCAAACGACTGCGGGTCAACAGAAATCATTTGAAGTGCTATCCTACATTTGGTTCGCGAGAGGACAGTAGCAAATTGCTACTGTCCTCTCACACAGCCAGACCGGCCCGGAGTCGCGAGAGAATAGTAGCGATTCGCGAGACGATACTATCTTTGAAGATTTATACTATCTTCTTACGATTTGCTACTGCGCTCTCACATATCCAGACCGGCCCGGCCGCGCGAGAAGACAGTAGCGATTTGCTACTGTCCTCTCGCACATCCAGACCGGCCCGGGAGCGCGAAAGAATTAGTTCAGATTCTTTCGCACGCCCAGACCGGTTCGGATTTGCGGGCGGTAGTTCAGATGATTATGACAATAATTTTTAATTTCCTAATATATCTTTCGCACACCCAGACCGGTTCGGATTTGCGGGCGCCATACATAATCTTGATTAAATTTAATGATGATTTTCCACAATTTTAGTGACATTAAGAACTACACAGATGATGCGAAACAGACCGACATAGGAATTGTCAAGGATTAATAGCCTTGGAGTCATGCAGGCACGTCCGTTTTTGAGGTAATGTTGTGTTCTGATTAGTGTGTGGCCCCCCCCCCTAAATAATCTTGATTAAATTTAATGATGATTTTCCACAATTTTAGTGACATTAAGAACTACACAGATGATGCGAAACAGACCGACATAGGAATTGTCAAGGATTAATAGCCTTGGAGTCATGCAGGCACGTCCGTTTTTGAGGTAATGTTGCGTCCTGATTAGTGTGTGGCCCCCCCCCCCAAACTATTTCTGGACTCTCTTTAAAGTAGAAAGTCAAAAATTTTCTTCCCAAAAGAAAAACATATCCTCAATTAAGTAAGGATTTCAATTGGCTACAA